AGCCTTTAACTGTAGAAAGCTTTTATTATTTTTGTTTTGTATAGGCAAGTAGACCTTTGTACAGTGTGGCCGGATGAGGCAAGATTTCATTTCTGCTGGGGAGGCAGGCCTTGTGACCTCCTCCCTCTGCTGTGGAAAGGCTGCCTTACACATTGGGTGGGCAGGAGGTTCTTTGTTTATGGTGTGTATGAGCTGTAAGGGCAACAGTTTCTGCTGCTGCTATGGTGTATGGTTTTTGTTTTAAAATTTTTTTTGGGCCTGTTGGCTTTAGGCCTCTGAGGCAGCTAGAGAGAAAGAGAGAGAGAAAGAAAAAGAGGGAAGGAGGGAGGGAGAGAGAGAGAGAGAGAGAGAGAGAGAGAGAGAGAGAGAGAGAAAGAGAAAGACAGAGAAACCACAAGCGTGGTGTTGGTGGCATAGTGGTTAGACTATCGGACCCGCAACGGATTCGAAGGTTTGAGCGTTAACAGCTCGGTCTGACCTTGTGTCCTTGGGAAAGGCAATTTACATGAATTTCCCATTCGGCTCAGTCCTTTCTGAGACGGACGTTAAACTCGGAGGTCCCACCCCTTAAATAACATAGTAGTGTTGATAAGGGCGAAAAACCTATACCATTTCACCATTTTTAGAGTCCATACTCCCTGTATTCTGCCACTATAATCATTTCCTGAATTTAGAAAAATATATTTGACAAAAAGTTTCCGTCCTTCTTTGGCCTTTGTGAGAAACGAAACAAATCTGCGCAGCTGTCCTTCACAACGGAAGTGCCGGAAGCGATATTTCGCGAGGCGCATTTTGTTTTGAGAGTATAGATCTGGACCTAATTTTTTGCGTCTCTCAAAATTTATTGCTCCATTCCAGTAGAGTGTAAATATAGTAGGTCAATGACTTTCAGTTGTTGTTAATGCACTGATCATTCCTTTCATCGAAAGGGGGCCCAGCTAGTATCAAATAAAAGAGAAATGAACATACAATCCAATGGTAGAGATTTTTTTATTTAGCTAAATTTATTCTGCTAAATAATTTGACAGGTGAAAAGGAGACAGATTTTTTCCCTCCATAAAATTTGGATCCCTGTCACTGTTATTCAATATAACTTGCAAATAATGCTGTAAACTTTCTTCTGAAAAATAAAATTCTCATCATCACTATGTGCATCATGGTTAATTTCAGCAATAGCCTGATTGGTGCTCAGTTTTTGCAAAATCATGGTGGTGAATGCAGCCAGCTCCCGAGAACTGCTGAGATGCAACTAGCCGGCTGGCTTTGTCTTTCATACACAACACAATACACACCCCTCTGTGTTCTAGATGTCATCATGTGCAATTCACATAGCAGTCTAAAAATAGACATGACTGTGGCATCAGCGGTCCAGTGGTTAGGCTGTTAGGTTCACAACCAAAAAGTCATGGGTTTGAATCTTGTCATGGGGCCCTACATTGTGTCCTTGGGAAATGCCCCTTACTTGACTTGAATTTATTAATTATTCAAAGACAGTCAAACATGTCCAAGATAACCACTCATTATTGAGGGTAAAAGTAGCCATCTTCGCCAGGTGGTCCTCTTGGACAGCGACAATGCAATATTATAATGAAATGCAAGGGTTAAAGAGGGAAGTGATGGTTTTGTAAAGGTGGTTGTCTTGGACAGGTGTTTCTTGAAGCAGGTTCTACTGTACATTTAAAAAATGGTATGTGGCAGCATCAGACGAAAGGAAGGAAGTGCCCACAGAAGAAGACTCGCCAAGCACTGAATGATGGTTGAATAGTAGAGCCCCCCCAAGCATCTGTAAAAATGAGGATTCGGGGGCTATCGTGGCCTAGAGATTAAGGTGTTGGCCTCTCATTCAAAGGTCCCGGGTTCGAATCATGGTAGTGACCGAAAAATTTTCTACTCTAAATTTGTCTCCTTTCACCTCCTTTCCTGCTCTCTAGCAATGTTCTGTCGTCTGCTTTCGTCTCCTCTTTCTGCCCCCACCCCCTCATCTCCTTTGCCCCCCTCCTCTGGGCTCCTGATTCTTTCTACAGCCTTTCTACTGCTACTCCTTGGCTTCTTCTTACTACTGTCTTTCAGCCACACCCCTGATCTTCTGGTAGGAAAGATCTACACCTAGCCTTCTCAGACAAAGGTAAAAAATCTCGGAGGGCGCGCATGCAAGTTGCGCACGATTAAGATCCCTTGGTGGTCTAAAATCGATAAGAGTAGGCTTCGGCCGTCACCCGGGCAAAATTCAAAATTTCCTACCAACTGAAAAGTTTAATGTGTCCCGCGCGCTCATATGACCTTATGCAGTTGCGAGCGCCGTAAAACACTTTAAAAAAAAAAAATGAGGCTTCAACAGGACCATTAAACTTAAACACTATAAATACTTTCTTTTCTCGTGATTTTTTTGGAGGAGACTTAAAATGGATATGATACCTGGTGCTCTTCCACTAAGTCTATCAGTTGGGCATCTGTGTCTCTCTTCTTCGAGTGTGTCACATTTATCTCTTGAACAACTCCAAGATAGTAAACCTGGAACAGATCAAGGAAAAAACAAAATTAGAAAATGTATGTGTAATCTGATAGAGAAAAGATGTAGTACACGTATACATCAATTGATCAATACAAATATAAAAACAAATCATCCAATAAAACAGTTGATCGAGAGTTCCCAGAGTAAAAAACTACTAAAATAAAAAAAATAATCAGCTTTGTCATACCACTAAAAAGTTCTTCTGATGACATTTCTTGCATTTCCCACACTAGTGCCGTTTGACCTTCCATTTTCTTTCTTTTTTTCTCTTTGTACTTACCCTTGCTTTTCATATTTCTCTTTGTACCCCTGCTAGACGTCAAGGAGTAACTGGCTGTAAGATCATCTTTTGGAGAAGTTGATTTTATATAGGTATTTTATCTACATAGAATATAAAATCATTACTAGCCAGACAGCCAGTCACCTGCCGCGTTGAATGTACAGTCAAACTTCTCTATGCCGCCAGCCTTGCTTACCACCACATTTTGCCAATGTAGGAAAAGATATATGCCTAAATAATGCAGTATCCGAGTCCTTACACCGACATACGGTAACTCTTTGAGTTGTACGTTCCTTATTAAAACAACATGAAATTGCCCTGCTATACCACAAGAGGTAATAAACTACATGGCGCATGGTACCCATTCACCAGCTGCTTGATAATATTTCTTCCAAGCCACCTTGGACCCTGGCCCACGTTCAAAATATGTGAGAATGCCAGGCATCAGCCTGACGACCTCAAGGCTGGTGGGCACCTGCCAAGCTATTATTTTGTGAGGACTCACACTCACGTCCACATGACAGGTCACTGAGGTGGCCAAAGGACTGATGATCATTGGGTAAAAAACTGTTTATCTACAGGCACCTTGACATATAGAGCCTAGCTTCTGATCCACCAGAAATTTTCAATTTGAATTATAACATGGAGTTTGAAAGGGTAATTTGCAGACACACAATCAAATAAAAAAGTAAGAACATAAAACATACACATGTCATTTCCCTTGATGCTGGGCAGTTAGGGCTATTTAAAAGTGGAACCCTGTTAACCATTTGCCCCACTATATCAACAACTTCGTGCTCAACCCAAAGGAAGTTAGATTGTACTCTTATCTATACTGGCTAGAGTGGTTTCAGTTTCAGTTTTGAGTTGGAATTATTTTGAATTTTGCCTGGGTGGTGGCCTGAAGGGTCTACTCTCTCCAATTTAAGAATCACAAAGGGATCTTTAACATGCAAACTTTGCAAATGAGATCTCCAAATTTTTCATTCTTCTGAAAAGACTGAGTGCTTGACCCTACCTACCCTAGGATCAAGAACTATAGAAAAAACGAGAACCCCCCCTCCCCCATGATGGCCGGGATCGAACTCCAGACCTCCGGGTTGACTTGTGAACACCATTGTTGAGTTACGGAGTCCCCTTATTTTCTTACAATTTTCCTTTCTCTTTTTCTCCTGACTTCTTTCATACATTCTCAGGCCTTTCTTCCTTTTGATTCATATATATATCAATTTCACTATTTCTTCTCTAATGACGATTTCCCAAAAAAGTAGGCCTACATTATCTTAATTAACTCGTGAACCTGTCAGAAATCCATTACAATGTTCTTTTAAGACTGCACACAGATTTTTAATTCTCTTCTTGACAGTCCAAAAGTAAGATTAAGATTAATAGAATAAAAAATTACTATTATAACTATTATAATAATTATTATAATGCAGGCGGAATACACCTTCCACAGAGGGGCTGCAGACCATAAACATGAGAAACGCAAGTGTGCTACAGCTGTGGAGATTTGCCTTTGTAATGTTCAACATGCAAAAGGACATAAATTGCCATTAAAAGGTTTATAAAAAAAGCAGAGACAGATACCTTGAAATAAATTCTTTGGTGTAAAATCTTATCCACAGCCTCTTTTCCCTCTTTGGTGCTTGGGGATAAATTTTCATTGCTGGAACCACTCTGTATGGAACAAAAACAGATAAATTGCAATTTTCAAACACAAGATGCAATCACTACAGTAACGTAAAAGCAAAAAAGAAATTAAAAAATCACAATATTCTATTGTTTAGGAGGCCTACACAGATGAGGGTACCCAAGTTGTGGGAATCTGGGCAACTGTTCAGCTCTGCCTTTCCTGTTAACATGAGGGTAAGATTGTACTTTACCGGACCACCGGTCGGAACTACTTTCGCTATGGCGCCCCTGGTGCCTAGTGGCCCGCTATTCTTCCTTTCCAACTCCACTACTCATTCTCCTACTCAGTTTTCTACGTCCTCACCCTTCGACAGCCCACAATCGACTGACGTCTCTTACCGGGTTTTTCAGTCATCACGACCCTGACATCTTGAGGCTAACTGGTCAATCTAATCACGTGGTCCACTATTCTTATTTGCTCGCGACTCAGCTGGCTTGGCCTACTCCTGGTCCGGCAAAGTACAATGGAGGGCTAGAGATGTGCACGAGAGCTCATTTGCATAATTGCAACCCCCTCAGCCCTGCTTGCGACTTGGCGAGTATCTACCCCGATTGTCCGCTCATGTTATTGTTTAAATATGTGTGTGTGTCTTTAAATTATTGTTGCCAGGGGGGCTAGCCCCCCTGAAACCCCCCCCTCCCCCCACTGTTGTTACATTGATAAGTAAACACGACTGTCCGCTCATGTTATTGTTTCGCATTGTTTTCTTTAATGTTTCACCCCCCCTCCCTCTCCCCACTGTTGGTATGATACACGGTGGTCCACCAAAGTTAAATCCCCTGACCACTCTCAACCACCACCTCTCGCTCACCTCGCCTCGCCAGTCGCCGCTGGCTTGCGCTGTGCATGTGCGAAGTCGCCCGCGGAACTACCTTTTGTCCGCACATAGAGTACTATATATGAGTGCATAGTTAGGCTAGGCGTGCGTAGTAATCACGGGCCGAGACGGGTGGTCCGGTACAGTACAATCCAGCCAACATGAGTACTTTGTATAAAGTAGTGACGTCGAAATAGAATATAAGCATGCCTTACTGGCACTCTTAATACTCTTGTAACTCATCATTTTGATCCTTCTATTCTTAGCACTACAGTAGGCCTACAGTGAAACTCCGATTCAACGAACTCGGATTCAACTCAAGGAGATGGATTCCCTGTTTTCTTTCATTCATTAAAATCAATAAAAATTTGGATTCAATGAATACATAAATGAACAAGCTCAGATTCAACGAAATTCAGCAAAAATTACGGCAATTTCGCCCCTAAAAACAGTGCATATCTGCGAACGGGTCGGCGCTTTTTCGGAAGTTCCCATCCCGCAATTGTTATTAGCCGGTTTAGGCCTCAAGAGAGGGGGGTTTCGGGGGGGCTTGCCCCCCTGAATTTTACCATAATTTGATGTTTTGCACTTGTTAGGTTTGATATCTAAGCTCGCATCAAACGTATAGATCTCAATGTAGGTCAGGCTCAAAATATAAGGGGGGTGGGAACTACCGAAAAAACACCAACGGGTCTTGGGTAATAAATTTACGGAATAGACAGCTCTTTTCCAGGCATCAATAAGAAAAGGGCTAAGGCTAAAGTTTAATAAAGTGAAATTAAAATTTTTTTTTATTGGCATTGCTCTACCGTATATCTAGACCAGATCTAAATCTAGAGATAAGATATAGAGCATGCCAATAAGAAAAAAGATATAGAGCATGCCAATAAGATATTAAAGAAGAATAGTAGTAGAGAATAGAAACAGTGACAGTACTGACAGACACTACAGTACAGTAGTACAGGACAGGACAGGCCACATGGGCGTGTCCCCTTAGTATGCACATACCAGTTGGCTGTCCATAGATTCACGGCTTCCATTCTGATGACCTTTAGATTTCGAAGCAAATCGAAACATTTTTTGTCTTTTGTGTTGGTTTATAAGTAGATAATTGAACTATTCAAGGCCGAGTAATTTGAACCTCCACTCACACTCCATTGTTTACATCGGAGACGCTCCTGTTGACCAGGTACGAGTCCAGACCCCAGTACGCAAACAAGAATCTTTTCTAATATGGAATTAATACAGCATACGATTCTTTACGCATTACAAGTGTTTAATTCGAATTCAAAAGATTGTTTTAGATGTCCTGTCTGTACTGGTAAGCTAAAAGTCAGAAGAAATATCAAAATGGTAAACAACAGGATTCTTTCAAGTTGCCCTTAGGTAAGAAAATCTTTGCCTATACGGCAAGGACCCCAGAGTAAAAAGTCTATTTATAACCTCATTGCTCTCACAACAACTTCTGTTGGTGTTGGCCGGTGTTGGTTTGTCTTGGTTATAAGGGCAGAATAATGTCCAAAGCTGTTTCAAAAAGCAACAACCCCCTGCCCTCATTAAAATAACCTAAAATAATTAAAAGTGGTAATGATTGGGTCATATACACATAGTGAAATATTTGAGCTATACCTTAAGTTATATACTCAAATACTATTCATTAAAGGTTTAAAGTCATTTTGCTCGCTCCTAAGGTTGTTTATTCCGTTGTCAAACATGGCGTCGAAAGAGAAGAAGAAGGGTGAGAAAAGGAGCGGTAAGAAAACAGATGCTGAGGAGGAGAAAAAGGTAGAAACACCGGTCACGGACTGCGTGGATACACCATCAGAAGATGCGACCAATGCAGAACCCGCTGAGGAGCCTCCTCGAGATCCAACACCAGAACCTACTTACGATGAACCTGCACTTTCTGAGCTCATTGTCGAAAGGTAGACCGTAGACTGACTACTAGTAGAGTACTTTAGCTTGGCTCTAGCTTAACTGTTTACGTAGGAGTTCCTAAAACTACCTTCAAGAAATAAACAAAAGTCAGTAGGAATCGACAAAAAAACGTATTCCTTAGTCGAAGGACTATTCCCTGTTTTATCAGTGCAAAATTTGCCGAAAATCAGCTCAAATTAGCATTTCTATTATAAAAGATACGCCTTGAGTAAGACTGACGGTGGCCTCACGCTTATCAGGGGACATTTTTAGGGTGTTCTCATTCAAATAACGATATCTCCTTTGTTTTACTGCACCCTCGCCTATGGTCTTAAATGAAAGATAATGGAAAATAGGCCTACTAAAATTTTTCTTTAGGCCTATTACTAGCTGATGTAATCTTTGTGTTATCGTCGAGGAAAGGGACATTTTTGCATTTCTCTGTGGACAGTGAATGGCACACGTTTTGCTTGCAGTAACCCTTTGAGAGAAAGCCTTCAGTTCAAGCCATGCTTCAGCTCAAACTTTCACCTTTTGCACTCCTAAGCGGGGCTTCTTTTTTCCGAAACCTATCAAAACTCATTGAAACCGTCCGAAACCTACCGAAACCTTCCGAAACTGTGATATCTATGAAGGATCATGGCAAGATCAGAGAGAAAGGGTTTATAAGAGAGAGAGAGAGAGAGAGAGAGAGAGAGAGAGAGAGAGAGAGAGAGAGAGAGAAGAGATATTGAGATTGTTTAAAGACTTTTTCCTTGGTAGGAGATATAGGAGGGACAGGTGGGGAGGGGGGGATTTTTGGTGGAGAGAAAAATAACCAAGAGAGAGAAGAATGAGGATATATAGGGTGGGGTGGGCAGAAAGGGAGTGGGGGGGGGGGGGCGGCACAGATTAGAGAAAAGAAACAAACAGCATGACGAGAGAAGAGGTTTTCCTTGAGAGTAAATCGATGCATACCTGACCTCACATTGGATACAGCGAGTGTCCTCTGTTTCAACGATGCAGATCCCAGGGATAGGTGGCCGGCTTTTTCTGTCTTTTTCTTAGGTTCTGCATTAGGGACTGTAGTAAACTACAGTTTAATCAGCTTATATCGACATGCTTTAGGAAGTGAATTTGAGGTTGATACATATATATAAATGTCGATGAATGAAAATATATAAAGCCAAAGAGGAAAAAAACAAGGGGAGGTCTGCGGTAAAAAGACAACACTATTTTTTAAAGTATATGTTTTGGGCCTCGTCCCAGTTCCCCCCACTCTCCCCTATGGATAAAATTTTTCCCTGGACATCCTACGGTTTAGTTTTTCAAGTACAAGTATGTATTACCCATCAAAATGTTCAGAAAAAAAAAGAATGTAAAATTGTTGACATTAAAATTGCATGCACACTGTCTATTATCCAAATTGGCCCAAGGACTGATCAGCAGGGTTAAAAAAAGCTACCTAAAATCTACAGAACAAGGGGAGGGGAGGTTGGGATGGGCAGGGGAGGGAGCAAATTGGTGTAAAGCTCTAAATCAAGACCTATAGCTTGCTGAGATGTGTGTGGGAGAGAGATAATCAAGTACCCACTGAGTGGGTGCTGTGTATGATACTTAGTGTGCACCTCTGTAAACTCTGTTATTATGATGTGATGTGATTGTGCGCATCTTGAGTGCCGAACTTGGTTCTTTATTATTGGTTCAATGCCATACTTAATTGATGTAGGCCTAATATTACAGATTTGTTGAGCATTTTTTCACGTGTGAGTGGTAACTTCAGTGTAGTCCTTTGATTACAGAGGAACCTTCTTTCTAAGCCACCCTAAGCAAAGAGGGGGGGGTCTGAGTAGGCAGTTAAAAGAAAATTGAAAGGGATTGGCTTCAGAGATATATTCATCATTATCTCTATATTATTATTATATAAAAGATTGTACCGCCACTTAGCTGTTTTTCTCGCATGGAAGTAGGTGTCTCTGTATCAGTATCAAAATTAAATGAAGGGGCGTATGTAGTAGTACTACAGTTTTTTAGTAAGAAGGCCTATAATGCGAGTATTCAGTGGAACACTGTATATTAGTGTTGTCATACTATTCCCTGAGCATAATTTTATTCTTGGCGCAACCTTCTTCGGAAGTGGCGCCACGCCCCTATTCGTGTCTCACATTTTGAAACAACCCTCTCCGTAAAACATTCTCTCTCTCTCTCTCGCTCTCTCTCTCTCTCTCTCTCGCTCTCTCTCTCTCTCTCTCTCTCTCTCTCTCTCTCTCTCTCTCTCTCTCTCTCTCTCTCTCTCTCTCTCTCCCCTTCCTTCCCTCCCCCCCTCTCCCTCTGTTTCATTTATAGCACTGTGTGTTCAGATATCTCACTGCAGTTGGTACGAATTAACTTGCTGTTTTGGAAATATATATAGTTTACTGTAGGTTGAAAATTGAAATTCCGATATCAGTGGGTGGCTATGGTAACTTAGCATTATTTCCGTCTTTTTTTTTAGAATGGTTGATTTGTGCAGATATTCAAAGTTACTTAGGTCTCTACCAATGTTCTTGATGCCTTTCTGATCAACATATTTATTTTTATGATGTGCTGTCTTCCCAAATTGCTACTCTGTATTTTGTTCCTTCTTGAGTACTTTAATCTTCTTGTTTTTATTACTTTCATAAGTTTTGAAGGTGAAAAGGTGAAGGGTCTGTATGAGGGAGAAGGAGAAGCACAGTTCACTGGAGGCCACTATTACAAGGTAAACAATTTCATTTCTTGAAAATGTTATCCAAAAAAGTTAAAACTCGTAAAAGAGCAACCTTACATTGTTATCTATTATCAGTAAATTTATTAAATTCTTTATTTGATAACGCCATTCTTATACCTTTGCGTTCAATTTTTGTTAAAAAACTGAAATTTTGCAAATACAAATTTGAAAACATGTAAACTATCTTTTGGGTCATAAATTGCTTTCAGTGCAGTAGTTTTTGGTATGATATAAAGATATGAAGACTAAATGTCTTAAGATTATGGTTTATTTAATGCTCCTGTGCCAAAATATTTATTGTGTTATATTTTAATTAGAATTTAATTTTTATTTTGTTATGTTTCAGGGCATGTTTTCTGAGGGCTGCATGCATGGAAAAGGAGTGTATGTTTGGGCTAATGGAACTCAATATGAGGTACTAGCAGTAGCGTGATGTGATGATGGGCTAAAAGGCCTAATTCTCCCAACCCTTTTCCTAAGTAAATGAATGTTTCTGAATGAAATATGTCATTGAAAGTATTTTGAATGCATGCAGTGAATGCATATTGAGTGATCAATAGGTATGCTTGCTCGTTTATCCTGTAAATGTTGTCACCATTTACAATGATAATTGGAACTTAACAGCCAGTCAAATGTTTTTAAGACTCATCAAGTAACTAGTTTGATTCTTCTTTCAACAACAAGTGTGTTCAGTAGCCACAGTGATTGTCTTTTGTGTATATGTTCATTGTCAGATTATGAGTGTATATGTGAGGCAGTGTGGTGAAATGAGGCGCTCGTCAAAATAATGGAAGTCGAGAAACTGGCATTTTCCCAAAGGTTTTGGAATTTTTATCGAATTTTTTGTTTTTTTGCCACAACACCTTTCATGCCCTTTAAAAAACAAATTTCTGTGTGGATTTTACTGAAAAACATTGATTAAAGGCCTAAAAGATGTAAATTTTCAGTTTCCAAGCTAAGGAAATAACTCAATTTTGGCGGCCCTATCTTGCTAATTTTACCTCTGAAACCAGGTGACTCCAACCTCCTTCGATCGCTAATATCTTGACTTGTTTTCTAGAGAAATGAATTTTTTTTTCATCAAAAGCATGGCAAATGTATAGGCTTTAAGATGATACCAATAACTCCATATGCTCTAAAATTGACGAGCGCCTGATTCCACCGCATCTTGACACATATGTATTTGAAGGAGTTTTTGTATGTTGAATGGGCCAGTAAGAGGGAGACCTTGATTAAAATTTTATTTCTCATTGTGAAGCCCCTAGAGTCACCAGGGAGTTGGTGCTGTAAAAGTGATCTTTATTGTTATTATTATGATGATGATGATGATGATTGTTATTATGTTTATGGACTAAATTAATATACTCATTTTATTGACCAGGGAGACTTTTTGAAGAATCAAGTGACTGGCAAGGGAATGTACACTTGGCCAAATGGCAGGTATGAATGAAAAATCGTGTTCATTTTAAGATAAAAAAATGGATATTTTTAACTGATCTTATTCTTGATTTTTCATAAAAGATAACAAACATATTTAGGGCTATTTTTGCTCCAAATTGCAGGTCTGATTTATAGGATTCTTTCTTATTCTTTTTGTGTCTTATCAGGTATGTGTTTGTCAAAATCTTTTTTTTTTCAAGAAGCTTTAGAATTCTTGAAAGAGCTCACTATGTCTTCGGTTTTTCTTTCTTTAGATGCATAATTCCAAAGTCATGAGTTTTTTAAATTGGAAAATTAAGAACTGTGCTTGGATCAGTGTAGATAACTTAAAATATTTCCTATTTTCACACGTAGGATGGATGCTATTGATATTATGATATACACATTGAAAGAATTAGAAACTGAAAAGTTAAATTTTTGATTTCAGAAACTGTGGAGCTGGCCATCATTTAAATGAATTGCACATGCTTTTAGCAGCACGTTTGTGGGAAATTTGTGATAAGCATGTCACATGTGTATTACAATTTTGTTGAGTGAATTAAGATTTCCCCAAAATGTTTTTTACCTGTTGTATTTTAACAGCACATATGAGGGGGATGTCTCAAACGGCAAGCGTCATGGATTTGGCACTTTCCGTAGTGCAGACAACAGGCTTTCCTACTCTGGAGACTGGGTCTTGGGGAAAAAACAAGGAAAAGTAAGTTTGTAGTTAGTTAGAATGAAATATTCCTTTCAAGGGGTCTTTGTAGGGAATTTGAAGATTCAAAGTTTTAGTTTTAATTCAGTACTTTTTGTGTTTAAATAAAAAATATCAGGCCGTTTCTCTATAATACTTTGCCCTCCCTATCTCATCATATATTGTCAAACCATCTATTTTATGATTGTAAATACAGTGGAACTTGCTCTTATGGCCACTTGTCCAGGATAATCACCTCTATGAAGGACCACTTGCCATATGCCCCCTTGCGTATTAAAAAAATGTTTTAATAACACTGTCCAAGATGTTCACATGTCCAGGACAACCTGTTTTTTCCTTGACAATGGGTCGCTATCTTGGACAACTTTTACTGTAATTTTAAGTATTTATGCCCATATCAATGCAAAATACATTTTTTTAGTAGGGAGGCTGCTTATCTATTTGTCTGGGTTAACCTGGGCTGAGCGGACACAAAATCTGAACTGGCAGAGATGTATATTCTTGACAAAACTGACTTCTTCATTTTGGATTGAAACTCATGTGTTTTGTTTGCTACATCATAGAGTTTAGCTACTATATCACATACATCGGTAATTTTTTCATCATTTGTTTGAAGAAATAATACATGTATAGTAAGTTAGGCAGAACAGCATGCCTTCCCATTATCACATTGTAATGACTGCATCTTAGAAAATAAGTTGAAATACAACTGATTTATGACTATCTGAAGAAAAATGAAAGATGATGAAAAATGCCTTACAAACTGTTGTAAGAAAATATTTTCTTGTCAACAATTGTTTTTTGCTGTAAACAGAACTTTTTAATACAAATTGATATGATGCTTAATATTATGAGTGTCATACTTCTGTGTTTATATTTCCATTTCCTAGGGCCGTATGGATTATGATGCTGAAGGAAAGTCATACTATGATGGTGATTGGGTAAATGGCATCAAGCATGGGTGGGGCACCCGTCAGTACCCATCAGGCAACGTCTACCATGGCATGTGGTTTAACAATGTCAGGCATGGTGAAGGAACAATGAAGTGGTTGGATAGAGACCAGGTCTATGCTGGACAGTGGGAGAATGGCATTCAGGTAAACAGGCGTAATTATACACTTTTAAAGCTATCAGTAAGTGGAGAAAAATCACTAAAAAGTTGTAAGAAAGCATCAACACAAGAAATATACATTTGATGTTTTGGGCAAAGACCCTCCCACAACACAGACACACACACACACACACACACACTCACACACACACACACACACACACACACACACACACACACACACACACACACACACACACACATAATGTAAATTTCTTATGTTGAAGCATAGCAATGCAGTGGAACTCAGATTCAACGAAAACTCAGATTCAACAAAGGGAGATGGATTCCCCGTTTAAAAAAATTAATAAAAATCAATAAAAATAAAATAGGATTTAACGAACACATAAATGAGCAAGCTCGGATTCAACAAAGTCGCTTGCTGGGTGAACAGACCCTGCTGACATGGCTTTGCTTATTTTTTTCCTGCCCACAACGAACCTAATCTATTTCTAGAAACCATCTGTGCCACTTGTATAATGCACCATTACTCGTTTAGCCTTTGGTTTATATCTTATGTGACCAATCAGCGGTCTTCTTTCGTACCAACATACCTGCTGCTAACATGCACACATGTTTTAGCGTGTGTTGGTGTCAGGTAGGTGACCAACAGACCTACACATGTGATGTGTGACTGTGTGTGACCTGGTGAGAGCGGGGACAAGCTGTCTGGGTGTGGAATGACAGTAGAGATGCAAACACGTCACAGTTATTTTTTTTCTCAGCTACTGATCAATTCTACCAATGATAAGTTAGTCTTGACATAGCCTAGATTGACGTAATGAGTTGTGCGCTGGACTGTTGAATCAAACGTTGCCGTATGCTAGGCTCTACACAGCAACATCACTTGTTCGGCAAACAATAAGTTATAGATGATAGATGACACTGTCGTGCATTTGAAAGAATCAATCCTGTAGCACAGTGTGTCCTTGGTAGAGTTCAGTGTATTTTCTGCAATTTTTCAGCATTACTTTGATATAGCATCAAACGAAAATTTCTCTCATTTGAAACCAAACTACTTTTGACTGAGAAAGTCGAATACCTGTATTACCTGTCTTGGGCAACAATGTCATTGCACACCGGACAGATAAATAATTGCTCAGTTCCCCCCATCACCAAAGCCCGCAGGGTATCCATACTGATTGTTTCGGTGGCTGACTGATTATGGCAACGTCTTTCTTTTCCAGATAATTGTACTTTTCTTCCTTCTCCCCTCTCTATCCCCATTTCCCGCATCCTAATGATTGCGTGGTGTTCTGCTGTCTCCCTGTCTTCTTCATGCCGCAACTTTTTCTCCAGGGTCTTCAACACTTCTCCTTTGTCAAATTTTGCCTCACCATCACCCACACCACTGCCTGCCAGCCTAACAGCCTCCTCATTGCCTTTCACTTAAGAGTGCCCAGGACAGAATATCTACGTGATGGCTCTAAGTGACGAATACATTATCGATTAGCTAATCTGTGCTTGTAATTATCTACACAATAACCTCATGTTTTCCATAATGAACACTCGGGATTCAACGAATTTGAAGGTCAGGCCTGACAACTTTGTTGAATCTGAATTCCACTGTACTGTTGGCAAACTTAACACTGAACGTGTGCTCAGTACTGATACCATTTACAATCTCAAAAGACGACACGAGAGTCTTCTCTGGTCAGGGTTGTTTGGTCTCATTCATACCTTCCTTTTACTTGCAAGCATATATGTAAAGAAGAGGTTTATATCTTTATATATGCAAGTGTGATGTGCTTATATTCTTCAGAAAGCTATGTCTTGTCATATTGTTGGCTTGTTGATACAACTCATGTCAGAGTAATACTATAAATTGTCCACATAGTGTTTTGTTAATCTGCTATAAAACTAGTTTGTGTGTCACCTTGTTTGCACTGTGACTGGAGTGTGATAGCCAAATGAAGTCTTTTTGTGGCGCATGAGTTAGTTAACAATTTTCTTCATACCTGTGTTGCTTTTAGCTTGGGAGCACTCAGTAACTGCATATCCTGTTGATGATATAGCTGTGCGAGCAGAATTATTTACCTGTATTCTGTTTTTCATTTTGCATTGGAGTAAAAGGTACATCTTTTTTGTTTTCGTTTGGGGGCTCTCTGACAAAAAGTTTTGAAGTGTTTTTTCTCCTGCATAGTGAAATGACCTGCTGAGCTAAACATTGCATGTTACATGAGGCGCCTGCCTTGACTTATCAAAGCATTGCATGTTACATGAGGCACCTGCCTTGACTTATCAAAGCATTGCATGTTCCGTGAGGCGCCTGCCTTGACTTATCAGCGCATATGATATGACTATGTTGTCTGTTAATAATTCTGTGAAATTTAGTGTTGTGAATAGTTCACATTTTTTATCATGTACAACATTCGCCTTTTAATGTATTGTAGCACAATTTAACAAATTGGCGAGAGGGAACTCGGTACAGCATTTGTTGATCAACCTGGGTTTTTCAAAAGTGTTCTTTATCAAATGCCTTACAGTTTTTAAGTGAGCAGCTTATTTTGAAAGACCAAGAGGGATACAAAACGTGTTCTGATGTGAGGAAATTATATCAAATGTAATCAGTGGACCACTTTTTTTTTTACAGCATGGTCTTGGTCAGCATATTTGGCTGTTGCGCAGAGTGACTAAATCCCAGTATCCTCTGAGGAACATGTACGATGGGGAACTGGTCAATGGCCTTCGCCATGGGACAGGTGTATTCTACTATGCCAATGGTGCCAAATATGAGGGCTATTGGAGAGACAACATGAAGCATGGACAGGTCAGTGAACTTCATGTGAATGAGTAATGTTGGTTTTACTTTTGTTTTACAGAGATATAAAAAATAACAGTCTCAAACTTTTGGAGTCTAAATTATTACTTTCAAGTAAAACAGTACCTATGCAAGTTTCATGTGTGCGACTGAAAATGGATGTGTACATGTTTTGTGTCAATGTTAGATTTCTTAATGTTGGTTCTGTAAACTTGCACTATGATCAGACATGATGTAAGAGGGTTTCCAAGAGATCTTTCAGACAAAAATAAATCTTCACTTTATTTTGTTATAGAGTTTATGACTATTACCATCAGTTTGTAGTCTTTAAACATCAGTGACCAGCCAGGAGCATGGCTCTGTTGTCATAAGGGAAAAACAACGAATAGTCTTGTGCAGATAGTGAAACGAATTTTTCAGGAGAGGCAAAAAGTGTTTTCAATATATAGCTTTTATTTTTTATTCTTAAAAGCTATTATTCACCAGAGATCTGGTTAAGGTGTTCATAAACGTGTTTCAAAAGTTTGAATTGTTTACGCTGAAAAGATGCAAGTTATTTGCCTTTCATTGTTCTCCCTTACACTGCGAAGCCGCAGGTGAGCCTTGCGTTATAAACAAAAACATCGAAGGGTATGGTGGGGTGTTCTCCCTTATACTTGTAAATTGTTATGGGCGTAGACGATGGTCAGGTTATGACGCATCCTCGACAGTAATGATTGAGCACGGGTTACTGCAAATAAAAAAAAAGACAACTTGCTATTATATGTATAAAGTTAGGTGTCTATTATTAAAGAATCCTTGATTCTTATAATTTTTTCCACTGTGTTGGTTCACAGGCTGTTCCGTTGCATTACAGCCATTATTATACACATGTAATCAGTCCCATCTTCTAAATCCCATTTTCCATATCCCATATCCTAATTGTAACTCTGTAAACGTGCTTCATTTCCCTTCCTCTCTTGGTTAAATACTACTCTGGTAATGTCCAAATCAGGTGTGTTTTTCAAACACACGTTTTCAACATCTGGATGTAAACTGTTTAAATCGGAATCAAGGTTTGGTCTCTATGACATTTCTTTATTGTATTCTCTTCAGAAGCGAGTGTTACTTTTATTTTCGCAAGTTGCAAAATTCTTCCAGCACAACCAAAGGGATCCATAATGTTGGGATGTAAATATAGTTAGATCATCACAGTCAAAGTCAAACAATGGGGACAATGCTGAATGAGCAATGATCCTTCACTGATCAACCATTCGTTGTTCTCCCATACACTGCGCTCTGGCCCGGAACTCGCCAGTATAAGGGAAAATGACAAATTCTCTATTACAAAACAACGGAAGAGGATATGACAAAAATCTTTATCCTGTTTGGTGCAGAATTAACACTTACAGTACAGTACCGAAGGCTCATATAGTGAAAAACCCTTGGGTACTGCTCCAGTTTAGAACGCTGAAGCCGTGGTAAAAATTTTTTAATCAGAAAAACATTGGCAGCCCAAGAAACAGGCTTTCAAAATTGAGAGAGGTTCATCAACCCTTCAGCTATCATATAGAGTAACTTCTTTTGGTACTTACTTCAGTGCTGTGTTCCCATTCGTTGTTTAATTATGTTTAGTGTGCCTGGGTGCGTCGGTTACTTAAGTCGCTAGAGGTAGTGAACACATACTAAAGCCTGGCGGCTGAAGTCGCCGACGGTACTGTAAGTGTTGAATGCTCTCTGATATTATGTAAACTTTTTTTTTTTAATTTAAAAGTTTTGACCTTTGATCATTTTCCCTATGCCTGTGAAAAAAGCATTCTCATCTCTGAGATTGATTGGAATACTTTAGTTTTAGCAAATATACCGTGTTGCAAAAGTTCTGTCACACCCACCTTCAAATTTGATTTACTGCTACAAAACATCTGTTCATTGACTGAATCAATGTCCTTATGGTTGCTTGAGGAATCCCCTGCCATTCCTTGTGAAGTGCAGCCTTCAGTTCCTGGCGAGTTTGTACTGGGTGTGGCCTGTTTTTAACCTTACCGTCAAGGTCATCTTTCAGATGTTCTGTTAGGGTTAAGGCCTATTAATCTTGCAGGCCAGTCCAGAACATTGATTTAATGAGTTGGAAAGAGTTTTGACTGGTCATGGCCACATGGGGTCGGGCGTTGTCGTTTTGGCACATTCCATTATCCCTGCAATGTTTACTTCAATGAAAGCTTTCCCTATCACTGGTGTTGAAGGGAGCAAGTATATTTTTTGAGCATCTAAAAGGATATTTGAAATACCCTACGAGTTAATGTAAAGAAAATGCACTTTTTCTTTTAATGTTCATTACAAATTAATTGTCTCCCAAAGCCCAACCAGGTCCACGTCCCGGGAGGTGGAAACGGGACAAAGTAGGGGATTGCTAGGTTCAACGAAGTATGGTGTGGCTTTATGCCACTGAAACACGCAGAGTTCCTCATAAATGATTATGGAATCATTTTCTAGTTTCATCAAGTTCCCTGCTTTTTCATCCTCAGTGCAAATGACTTTGTTCTTTTCATTTATTCCAATTCAAAAGTGTCTTGATCTGCTTATTAATGTTGTCTATCTTAGTTTATGTTGAAGGAAAAGTTGATGCCCTGAATTCACATAGAAAAAAAGGGGAAGTGTTTAAAAAAGATTTCTTTCCCTGTGGTAAATGTATGTGAAGTTAGAAACTGTGTTGTCTTTTTAGCGTTGTGTTGCAGTGCCTTCCCAGAATTTATGGCTATTTTTTCCTCAGTGAACTGAACTTACACTGAAAGGAACTGTAAGACAAACTTGTATTTGTTCACAGGGCAAATTCACTTTCAAGAACGGCCGTATCTATGAAGGTCTCTTTGAGAAGGATCACATTGTAGAGTACCCAGATTTCACCATGGATGGATCTGCATCTCCTGACATGACCCAAATCCGGACCAGGACCCCGGTGCCCACAGGTGGATTTCACCTTCTTTCTTCTTTTCAATCCTGCATACCAATGACTAAGTTTTAAGCCTGGATGGTCTACTTTATCTTGCAATCCTGCAAGCAAAATGCAAATGAATGGGAGAGAACTCACTAAAGACTTTCATGACTTTTCTTGCTTGCTGTCAGATTGATGGTAAATGTTTTACAATAGACACAATTTAGATCATTATGGAGAGTTGGTTTATTTGACCTCTACCTGTCGAGGCAAATCCGAACTGTGAAAGAAATGTCTGAGAGCAAAGAAGGAGATGTTGAATGAGGTATCATTCCCACATCTGAATTAAAAACACATCATTTGTGTGCAAGATAATCAACCTAACCTTTCAACCATCAATGTCAGGTTTAAATAAAGGGTCAGAAATGATAGAAGCAACAAGAAGGAGACTATCATGATAGAACCAAGTAGTAGAATGATGAGATGGAAAACCTTCTGTATCAAGGCAAATAAAAAATCTGAGAAATATTTGCCATCTTGCTCTCATCATCTCCCTTTTTAAAAAAGAAAAGACAATGTCTTCAATGAATGGGCTCAGTTGTTTTGACTGTCTATGAAACAAGAGAGTGTTTGTAAAAAACATCATATTTGTCTCGAAGTGGTGAAATCAGGCAATTTTTGGGCACATAGAGTTATCATATCATCTTAAAACTTGTTCATTTATTTTGCATTTGATGAAAAAAAATGAAATACCTATTTATGTTGAGTAGAAGTATATATATTTGCCGTTGAAGGTGGTGGGGTAGCCTGGGATGAGAGGTAAAATAAGTGAGAAAATGGCTGCAAATTTTGGTGACTTCCAAAGCTTGAGTGTCCTTGGAAACTGTAAATTTACATTTTTGATTCCTTTAACCCTATCCATACGTCTCGTCTGTGCCACCACTTTCCAAAGAGGAAATTTACACGTTAATCCAATCCGTACACTTTGCATAGCAGTCTGTCAAAATGATTTTTTTGAGAAATATTGAAAGTTTCAAAGAGATCTTTGTACTATAAGTATTCTAAAATGTGAAGAATACAACCCCAGGGGTACAAAATGACCCCAGGGCGTACGGATAAGGTTAATGAATATTTTTCGGTAACATCCACACAGAAATGCGTTTTGAAAAGGACATAAAAGGTTGTTTAGCCAAAAAAATATTTAAAAATTTAATTGCCAAACACCCAGAAAAACTCTAGTTTCTTTGATTCCATTGTTTTGATAATGTGATTTCACCGAGCTGCCTCATGTATTTTTATCACTATCAAAATGAAATCAAGTACAGTCGAACCTGTGTAAGACGGAATCGCAAGGGAGCAGGGAAAAAATTCCGTCTTAGACATTTTGATAGGGGAATTTAGGGGAGGGGGGGGGATTCAAAGACCCAGCCAGTGGGATCAAGGATCGCTTGTCCGATCGGCAAGCAGTGGTCAAAACTTCACACCCCTCAACTGCTATCCTGTCTGATAAGGACATGCGTCAGTTTTACTTATCCAATTACCAACAGTGCTTGCCTTTCATAGGACTACTGTTTGACCTATTAAAAACAGAAACGTTTGAACATCTCCTTTGCTTCCACCCTTAGCCCCACCCACCAATGCCACCCCTCACTGCCATCATTGTAACAACGATTTGAGGAACTCTTTTCTCAGCTGGCCGTAGGATCAGGGCGGCAGGCATTGGTCTATCTAATATCACACCTCTGGCTTCTGGCTACCCAGGAAAGTTTCCATAGTGGCTCGCTACTCCAGCACTCTCACGGGCAGTCGTGAGATTTCACACCCACACTACACTGACCATCTACCGCCAAATTGCACCCCTACTCCCCTTCCTGGCCCAGCGGCACGACCATAGCGCTAAGTTTAGAGCCGACGGAATCAAACTTGCGAGTTTTGTTTCAAGTCAGGGTTGAACGGGCAAAGCATTTTCCATCTTAGACAGGTGAAACCCTCGGAAGGGAGCGGATTTTTCTTTCCATTTCCGCGTTGGACAGGTTTCCTTTTTATACAGGTAATCAAAGAGGAATATATCAAGGGGGGAGCAGGGAGATTCCGTTAAGACAGGTTTCCGTTTTATACAGGTTTCCGTTAAGGCAAGTTCGACTGTAATTGTTTTATCCATTTGGGTCTGACAAACATCAGGATTTTTCAGTCAAAATGGCAGGTTATAGCAAGCAAAATTTTGTGTAAGTTTGTTGAATAGAACATTCTGGATCGAATTCTTCTCTAGAAAGCCCTTGTATTGTAGCTAGTTTATTCAGCTCTAAAATGATTTTTTGCATACACCCTTTCCTTTCATGTTGGAGTAAATGAAAAAACAGTTCTGACCAAAATTTCTTTTATGTTATGGAGGTGATAGTTCTAAATTATGGACAGTTTTCTCATGATATTAAAAATGATATAACTTAAGAGCTAGTCTGCCAATAGAGGCCGAATCTTGATTTTTAAATCTAATTATGGTGTTTTGATGATAATGGACATGGCCCACTTGATATCCGTCAAAGGCGCACAACTGAAAGAAAAACAATAATTCTTTTGAAATAAAAAACGTTGAAAAACACGAGGGAGATAAACAAAAGTTGAGAACTGTATGCTTGTATAATTTATAGTCAAATCAGGACTACGTAGTTTTATCATTTGTCAAATAAATTTGCACTTTCGTTTTCAATTTTTGAAGAAACGTAATTCAACTACAGAAATGGGGATGTTCGAGTGTCTTTTTCTGAATTCAGCCATCGGTAATTTTCTTGAAGTTTTACTACCAATTTCACCAATTATCCTTGGTGGCAAAAAGTTTTTACAATCAATTTCCCCCTTTATCCCTGATGACAGATAATGTGTCTGTCCACTCCAATGATAGCAAGAACACAGTCAGTCCGAGCTTCCAACTTGAGATCCACACTCTTCTGGCCACACTACCTGCAGATGATGTGGAGCATGAGGTCAGCCAGGTAAGAAGAAACATTTCTTTCTTTGTTAAAAGATGGTCCTGGAGACTTCACATTTCATAAGACATAACATTTTCTCAAAAGTTTCCAGAGTCATGGATAGGCCTACTTAAAATTTGGTGCTACGATTGTTTCTGTTTTTTGCTTAATGATGTAGGTTCTTTCTTTTGTACATGATTTAAGCTTTTTTTACTGTCTCCTAACGGACTGATATGTGCTTCTCTGTTTGAAAAACCAAGAGCCTGTAGAATTTGATGCAGGATTAGTTTCCGAGGACAGATCTCAGTATGTAAAAGATGATTCTGGTGCCCTTTTTAAAGACCATTGTGAATGTGCAATGAATAACTTCTATTGGAAATATATGTTTGTCATTTAAGATTTCTCATTTCACTTTTTGAAGGTTATGTTCCCAGGAGAACAGATGTGAGGCAGCATGGTAAAATGAGACTTCGTCAAAATGCTTGAACGGAATAAATCTGCATTTTTCTGCTCGTTTAGCAATTTTTATAGAATTTTTCTTTATTGGCTCAACACATTTTTTGTCCATAAGCACATTTGTGTCTGGCGTTCTTTAAAAAATGATTAAAAGACACAAAAAGTGTAATTTTGCAGTTTCAAGCACTCTCAAGCTTTGGAAGTCTGCTAACTTTGGTAGCCATTTTCTTACTATTTTCACATCTGTAATTAGGTGACCCCCACCTCCTTCAGTCGCATATTTCTTGACTTCTATTCAAGATAGATAAAACAAAATTTTCATCGAAAGCAAAACATATGCACAAGCCTGAAGATGATAGCAATAGCTCCACTTGCCCAAAAATTGACGAGCGCCGGATTCCATCGCGCTGTGACTCCAATCTCTTGGACCTGTTGACATCTGCCTTGAAACAATTTAAAGGCTTGCGGAAACAATGTCATGCTGTAGTCACTACTTAGCCATGTCAGAAAGTTGTCTGGGAAAATCCTTGAAAGTAGAGTAATACACGTAGAGTAAGGAACCTGAGCAATAATAATATGTGAGGCTTTTTTACTTTTACTTTTTCATCCTCTGTTGCCGTTAAATTCGAAGGGAAATGCAGTTTTTTATGGTAAGCCAGCTCCGCAGTTCTTTCAGTTGTGATATTATGTTTTCTCAGGGTTTCCTTGACACCCTCAATTCACCTTTTGGCCTTCCTCTTCCTTTATAGCCTGAGTGCTTGGTGTCGTAGGCTCTCGAGGCTGGCTGGCCAGGTGACATACGTAACAGGTGGCCAAACCATTTTATTCTCTGTCATCAGGGGCCTGGCATTGTGTCCTTGTGAAACACCCTCTTCACAAATTTTCCTCACTTCACTCAGGTGGAAATGAGTATCTGTTATTGACAGTGAAAGATCTTGTCAGTTTGTTCGTTTGAGAGTTTATTAGCTGTTTACTCCGAATGTTTCCATGGAAGCAGAAAATGTTTCTGAGATTTCCAGGGTCTGCTGAGGTAATAATATAAGTTGTAAAGCAGCTGTATAGTGTTTGCTGTTGAACTGGGATGTGCCCTGTATAAATGCTGAATGCTATTTATTATTATTTGTCTTTGTAGGTTCTCTACTCCATCACACGCCATGTGAGTGCCTTACGTCGCATTTACACCTACTACAGTATGCTTGGCTATGAGGAGAGCCCAGACAACACATTCATTATGAACAAGATGCAGTTCTGGCGGTTCCTCAAAGATATCCACCTTCACCATGACCGGCATATGCTCACAGACATGGACAGATTGATTGGGGCCAGTAAGTTTAGCTTACATCATTGTTATGCATAACAAATAGTTTGTAACAACTCGCTCCCCTGAGTTGTCGTTGATATTGTTCAACTTCTCTAATTTTTAAGTGTAATGTATAATATACTTTAGCTTATGTAGTTCTGTTGCTGGCCTGCTCATGAAGTCCTAACCCTAAACCGACCTTGTGAGGGTTAATTGTTCGAATGCATGAAGCATGCTTGTAATGCAGCAGCCTCTCATGATGCTTTTTATCCAACGGTGAAGAATATGGATGTCGTGCTCACGACAAGATACATTCAAATTAAGGCCCCACATAGGTTTTTGTGGGTCAGTTTGGGTCCAAACAATGTTTTTGGGGTTTTGAGGAACTTTCCTTAATATTATGTGCAAAATCAAATGGAAGTACTCCCAAAGCTCTATTTCAAATGAATAGCTCCATAAAGTTTGTAACATTGTGAGCCTATACAATGCTTTAAAGCAATATTGAGATGTTTTTGCTCCTTTCCTCAAAATGTTAATTTCTTGGCTTTAAAAGCTAAAAATTAAAAAAACATTCAAGATAAAGACATGAAATTTCTAGGGTAAGTGCGCTGTGCAATTCAAAATAGAATGAGTCTAGCTTTTTGAAATTTAAAAAAAAAATATTTTACATTATTTTCCTACTTTGCTATTTTGACTATTTTTGTCATTTGCAAGTCTTCTAAAAGTAATACAATGATTAATATTAACAATTTCTAGAAAAGCTAGCGTCATTTTCTTAAGATTTGTGTGTAGATTACAAATATGTATTTAGTTCATAGATAGCATTGAGGATTTTTGAGTTTTTAGCTTTTGAAAAAAGGTCCTTCAGATAGGCCGGTTTCACTCTAATTTGCAATTTCTGTGATTATGTAACTGGTAATAATTCCCAAAACTGAATATTTTTAATCCTTGAATGGAAAACTTTGAGAAAATGAGGAAAAACAAGTGAAAATAACTTAATCGTAGATTTTGATGCTAAGAAATAGAGTGTGGCCTTACAAATTTAAAAAGTGCAAATTTATTGGGTTGCTCTTTAAATTTCTTTGCCTTTTCTTGTCATTTTCCCGGATTCTCCATCTTTATTTTTGTAGCAAAATTTGTGCAGGATGAGTTGCTACTGGTTTTTTGTTCCCTGCAATTGTCCAACCAAATGTGTTTTTTTTCTTTCTGATTTAGTTTGAGAAACATTTAGTGTTTATCCCATATTATTTTTTTAGATATTTTTGATGAATACCCTCATATAGGTGTTGTTTTTTGACATTTTAGCCTCTTTTATAAAGTCTTTTTCATCTTAAAAAAAAAAGACTTAATAAGAGTTTAACAGCCCTTGCAACACGAATGCATCATATAAGTGCCAAAGATTAGAGGTGTTACTTAAGTAACGTACAAAGAAGAAAAAGAGGACATATTAGGAGGATAGATGTTTTATAAGAAAGAAGGAGCAAACCACACCAAGGCAACCACCAACCACCCACTTTTTATCTGTGTCATTAGATTTGAGTGGATTGCCATATGGGTAGGACTTGACTAGAAGTGTACTTGCACACTGTAATTGAGTACTTTTTTGGCTGTCTGCATTTAATTCCCTGGTTTGTGTGTCTGTCCACAATTCTTTCAACTGGTTTTCAGTCATTCTTACTCTCTTACAAGTTGCCTATGTGCTATATCAACTGTATTGTTTATGACTTTTGCCTACAGATTATCACAAGTCTAACTATGAGTTGCACAACCCATATGAAAAGATTCTCCAAAGGCAATTTGTCAACTATCTGGTGATCCTTGCTCATCTTGTCTATAAACAGGACTACAAGGAAAAGAAGTGAGTGAATTGGCCACATCGTTTGTTTTGTTGCTTTATTCCCTTGAGATTTAAAAAAAAATTCATTGTACTGTAGCGTTTTTGTCATGACCAATCATTTGTGTCACGACGCGGTGGAATCAGGCTCTCGTTAATTTTGGGGCACATGGAGTTATTGGTATCATCTAAAAGCTCGTTTATTCGCCTTGCTTTCACTAAAAAAAGTACCCATCTATCTTAAAAAGACTTCGAGATATTTGCGATTGAAGGCGATGAGGTCACCTGATTTCAGTGGTAAAGTTAGCAAGAAAATGGCTGCCAATGTTTAATCATTTTAATAGCCTGAGAGTCCGTTAAAACGATGATATTTCATATTTTGTGCCTTTAATCAACTTTTTTCAGTCAAATTAACATGGAAATATGTTTTTATATGGACACAAAAGGGGTTGAGCCGAAGAACCAAAATTCAATAAAAAGTGCCAAACTGACGGAAAAATGCCTGTTCCTTCGATTTCATTATTTTGACGAGCGCCTGATTTCACCATGATGCCTCACATTTTGTAAAATAAGGTATCTTACGTAGATCTTTGTAGAGCATTGCTTTATCAAATGCGGATTATTTTGAACTGATTTGTTTAGAATAAAAGATATCTTGTCTGAATGCTTAAAAAGAAGAACTGAAATGTTTAAAATTGTACTTTAAAATGGTTATAAAATAAGCCATGAGCCCCAATACTGTCAACCTTGAATTAAATGTTAGTGAAGATCCCAGAATCTATTATCAAATAGCTAGTTTTGTTATCATTCCAGTTGTCCAATTTACACTGACGTTATCTTTCATTTCAAATTTTATACTTAAGTCAATCTATCCTTGCACTGATCTGTCACATTGCCAAGAACATTTTTAAAAAATTAATTGAAAATTCTCAAGCAAGATCATTCTATATCTGTTGATTTTTTTGTTTTTAGAAATGAAGATATTATGTTTTTATGGTGGGATAACAACCATTTTTGGTTTAACTTTAATATTTTCAGTGAATCTGGCCCCATCTTGGAATACTGTTTCTCTCGCCTCATCACTGAGAAGGTCCTGAGATTTGCATGCATGGTGAAGAGTAAGTAGTAGGCTTTGTTCTGCAGAAAATGGCATTTTTTATTTGATAAAGATATATAAAGATAACTGGTTGAAAAAAAATGAGTGATTTATCATGTTATTTCATTATATTCCTGTGTATCGGCTAGTTTGCTCAGTGCTTCTTCAGATAATAAAGTAGTTCATTGCCCTTACTTATATATAATATCTCATTAAATGTATTGTAGAGGTTTTCTCTTTCATTGCAGCTTGCATTTTTTCTGTAATAAAATTAGGCTCAGGGACTTATGTGTGGTTAGGAACTACAAATTTAATCAAAAGTAGGACTTCATCTAATTGCATTAAAGCTGATATACTTATGGAATTTCAAAGGGATGGAAGCTTTTTGGCAAGTGATTGATATATCTGACCAATACATACTTTTACTTTCCCAGGTCCTATTTATTGTGAGACGCGTAGAGCCACAAATGCGCTTGTACATATGGATCAGGCTTATGAAATCTATCAAGGCATTAGTACCCTTCGGAAGGTAAGGGTCTAATACCATTTGATGTATGAGAATGTATTTTTGCCAGACTCCTATTATTTCTCTTTAAAAAATTAAGTAATCAGAGTAATACATGCTGATTTTCAATTGAAAAATAATCTTCGGAAAGATATGTGAGGCATTGTGGTGAAATCAGATGCTAGTCAAAATGATGAAATCAAAGAGACTGTCATTTTTCTGCCTGATGGGCATTTTTTTTCAGATTTTCTTTTTATGGCTCACCACATTTAGTGTTCATTTCAAAACACATTTCTGTGTGGATTTTACTGATCAAAGGCACAAAAAATGTAAATTTGCTGTTTCCAGTGACACTCAAGCTTTTGAAGTCACTAAACTTTGGCAGCCATTTTCTCGCTAATTTGACCTCTGACACCATGTGCAGGCGACCTTCCTCTCCTTCAATCTGAAATATCTTAATTTCTATTCAGGATAGATGGGCATTTTTTTTCATCAAAAGCAAGACAAAGAACAAGCTTTAAGAGGATAGGCCCTACCAATAACTCCATATGCCAACAAATTGTTGAGTACCTGATTCCACTGTGTGGTGACACATATATAACTAGCGCAAAAATGTAATAATCAGGCATATTATAGTTAGAGGTTTGAACTGTCTCACAGAATTCAGCGACATTGGAAATTTAAACAACGCTGAGTTTTCTTTGATTTAAAATGAAATTTTTTGTCTGCATTGATAATTTTCAAAAAGATCAAATAGATCTGATCACTTTGATTCCTCTCTTTTTTCAGCATGCTCCGAGGGAACCGATGCTGAAAATGAGAAATTTTATGTTTTTGCTCAAGGTAAGATGGATTGTTGTAACTGTAGAAATGTTGATCAAGGACTCTTTACTACTGTATTTTAAATGCACACCAACTCAAAGTATTAAAGATTTGAACTCTGTATTTGACTATTCAGTTATAATCGCAACGTGTTCTGTTCTGTGCCCTTTGTTTGAGTCTTATGATAATGTTGCATCTATTTTTCAGCTGTTCTGTCAAATCATCTCTTTGTTTAGAACAGCATCTAGTGTAATTTCCTCAAAGATAGTTGGATTGATATACTTCTTTATCAGCCTCCATCCTCTCTTTGTTTTTCATGCACAGAAGAGCTTGGAAAGTTAAACCTTAATTCTTTAACCATGCAATTTATAATCACGTTTCTGCGTAGTTCTCTCGTGTTTGTGGAAATGTTACCCAACATATTACGTTTTTAAAAACGTTCGTTTCATGTCAAACTGATCAATAAAGCATTGCCCAGACGTAGAATTCATTTATCTTTGACTTCCGGGTCAAACTAAAGGCTTGTTAGCTTGTACTTTTTTATATTTGGCCCGTACCATAATACAATAATAACTTTGCATCGGACGGTGGTACCGTCCACCCATGGTTACAGATCTGGACTACTGGACACTGCCACCGTCCAGACATGATTAAAGAGTTAATGAACAAATTTTTTTTTTTGGGATTCAGGAACTTGGTCTTGTGAATCAGGACCTGACTCCAGCAAAGATTCTGGAGGTTCTTGGCTCTGACAATCCTGGAGTCAGTGATGGGGAGGGTTGTTACAACCTAGAACTGGAGGTAAGAAATATTTTGAAGTTAATCTTGCATTTTTTTCAGTGGTGCCTTTTCCATTTACTGCTGTCTTTCAATTAACCCCTTGGTGACACAGGGTCAGTGTGTGCTTTACCGTACACGATTTTGGGTCCCCAGGGACACAGAGTAGCACTAGATTTAGTGGTCAGTCTACTATAATTAGACCCGATTCACAAATATCATATACTGGATAAACTGGCGATCAAAAGAAAGGTAGCCTACCATTATTTGATTGTGTTTAAAAAATCTAGTCCTATGAGTCTTTACGATTTTCCTTTCATGTGAGTAATAGTAGGTAGTCTTAAAAGTATGTCAAGCTATAGAAATAAAATTTTTGTGCTTGAATTAGTGTTCACAGCATGAACATCAAAAAATAGAAAATTGGCAATTTCTATGGAACATGTCATGGCGGATTTTTTTCTATTCTTTCATTGCTTATTGAATTACAGGTCTCTGTTTATAAAAAAACGCAATAACATTTGATCCTTGTCACCCAGGAAAATAGGTTGGACTCAACATCAGAGAAATTGAAGCATCGGCATGCTTCTTGCTTCTCTGCTGTTGTCGGGACATTTAACGACATCAGAAAAAAACTGAAGTTGAATGTCCTGGCAACACAGAAACATGTTATTGTAGTTTTTGATAAACAAATACCTAAACTTCATTAAAAAGGAAAGAATACAAAAAATCCACCACGTGGTCGGGAAAAAAAAGTTTCATTGTTTGACAGTGGTGTTGTGAACACTAATTGAAGCACAAAAATGATATTGTAAATAGACTACTTAGTATTAATCATGTGAGAGGAAAAGCTCAAAGACTCAAAAGACTAGATTTTATACAATCAAAAAGTGGTCCCCCTTTTTTGATCGCCAGTATTCAAAATTTTAGTGCATATAGAATTGTAGTATCCTGTTCATGTATGAGACATTTAATCATTGCTCATTTGTATCTTTATTCAGATGACCTTTTTGGAGTTCTTCGAAGCTCTGGTTGGATGTGCAGAAGTTTTTGTTACGGAGAATGTGGTGAAGGATCCTACAACTCCTCGGCCTAGCACTGCTATGACACATGATCCCAGCATGTACTCAGTGCCTGCTTCACCCTCTCGCATGACCAGCCAGGTATGTAGCGTTTTACGGATGATGAGAAAAAGAAATTGAAATAGTATTTTGCAATATTGTGTCCTTTCTGTAAGATACTGTATCTCCCCTCAACACTTAAAATGTGTTTGCAAAGGTACATAAAATTAGTTTTACACATAATATTATATCTCCTTCGATAGAAGGCTCACAAGATTTCACAGTAATTTTCTTTCTCTTAAGATTACATTTCATTGTACATATATATTATATGAATAGAGAAAAGGAAAATTTGCCTATAAACTGTTTTTAACTGTTTCAGTAGACTCATATCCTCCAGAGATATTTGGCCTTGTGGAAAAAAAACAAAAAAACCCAGCAGTCAGTCAGTCACTCTCTCTAGCTTCTTCTTCCTCCACACCCTTGATCTTAAGGTACGAGTAGAAACGATTGTGCACATAGTCTTCTTGGATTCTTGGATAAGGACAAAAATTTTGAAGGTCCAATGTGCACGTTGGGCTCATTGAAGAGAATTGCAGAAAGAGTAGGCCATAAATCTGCAACCGGGGCACAATATAAAATTCAGAAATTTCCCACTGACCATAAGAAAAATCCCTATATCTGTAAAAATGTTAAGGTAAACCCTTACATCTTACTTGATTCCAAATATATTGACCATGTCTCTCCCATGGAGCACATCAAGGCGGTCAAAATCCGAAGGGAGGGGAATAATAGGCATACTTGGGTAATCTACATCCTGTATGTCTGCTTCTCAGGGAAAGCTGTTCGCATATTTGCTTTTATTCACTTGTCAAAATGCAAAAAGGCCATAGATTTGGTAATGATCTAGAAGCTATTACATGTTAGTAAAACTGCAGAGATGATTTTTAAAGTTTTAGATGTTCTTACCAAAATTTTTCAACTTTGGAAATAAATAATGAGATTGTTGAGGTCACTCAGGCATACAGATAATTAGGAATCACTATAGACAACAAGCTATTGTGGAGCAAACATGTTGACAGTATCTTTAAAAAAAGGTTAATCAGAGGCTGCATTTTTGAAAGAAAATGATTGAGATCATCATCATCCAGTGCCAGATCTGCCACAGACATTGGCGAGCATGGTTCTCCATTCATATCTTTGCTCAGATGTTCTTAAAAAAGCTATGTTTCCCTGATCTTTCCCTGTTACCCATTTGTTTAGGTTCCCTAAGTAGGTTGCTCTGGGCCTACCCCTGCCTTGTTTGCCTTCAATTTTGCCAGTAGGAGCTAGATATTCAAGACCTTTATGTCTATTCAGGTGTCCCAAAAACTGCATTTGTTGTTTCCTGATTGCTTTTAACAGTGAGTTTCCCATGTGGGCTTCATCAAGCACTACATCATGTGATTTCTTTTCCTTCCACGATATTCTCAGCATTCTCTTAAGAAACCACATTTGAGATAGACAGAAATATAGCGGAAACTTTCTGCAAGGCAATATTTGAACGCTTTTGGTATTTCATGTTATGGCAGTAACATAGCAAAACCACAACATTACATTGAACAGAGTTACACAGAAAGCAGCAAAAGTATTAACTGTTTACTCTTCTCTCTTATTGAGCTTTACAACTGCAGTACTGTGAAAGCAACAAAGAAGATTATTGCTGACCTCAAACACCCATTAAATTCGGAATATCAAACATCTGTTAGAAGCAGACATTTTATTTTAAAAGAAAGCAAGAACCAACAGGTATAAAAATTTGTTCATACCGTCATCAAAAAATGAACTGCTCAGTCATTCAAGTGTGTTAGAATAACATTGTTTTTGTATTCATGTATGTGTGTGTATGTGTGTGTGTATGTGTGTGTGTATGTATGTATGTGTGTGTGTGTATGTGTGTGTGTGTGTATGTGTGTGTGTGTGTGTGTGTGTTTGTGTGTGTGAGAGAGAGAGAGAGAGAGAGAGAGAGAGAGAGAGAGAGAGAGAGACAAAGACAGAGACAGAGAGACAGAGATAGAGACAGAGACAGAGAGGTGGAAAGAAAAATTGAAAGAAAGACTGAAAGAAAGAAGAAAAGAGAGGTTGAAAGAGATGATCTCATATACACACTTGATCTGCTCTCCTTCAGATTTTCAGGCAATTTTTCTGAGGGCCAGTTACACGTCTGTCATATGAACGCAGTATATTTTTATATCTAAACTTTAGTACGTATTCTTTTATTGTCAGTTTGTATTTCTCAAGCTGATAAAACAACAAGCATATTTTGTGTAGTATTGAGCGAGTATTTCCAGCATTTGTGTACAACACCACTTTGAATCTGTTATGGCATCACAATGATCTTTACTGCAGGGAGCTGGGGAGGAAGGGGCGGAGTCTGTGAGACAACAAACTCCATTCCCACCAAGCACAAGCCCTGTACCTCAGTCACCTGTGAGAAATGCCTCGTCTGTCGCTCTCACTAACAAGACAGGAGGGGATGAGTCTAACAAAGCAGGAGAGGTAAAAAAACCCAAATTCTAGGCTGTCTTCAGAAGCTTCTATTTTCTTCAACTTACTATTGCAACATCATGATTGTGTGGAAATTTTTTTTTTTGATTTTTTGTGCAGAAGGGTAAATGAAGATTGTGTTGAAACATTTTTAAAAATTTCGTGTGCAGAAGGGTAAATGAAGTGCATGTTTAGGTCTTACGGGTTATAAAGTATTACTATTTTCTCATTAGCGTTTCTTTCAGTCCATAATGTTTTCTAGATTCTCTTCTGATGCTGAATTTCTGTTTTTAAGCAGTCGTTAGAGCACATGTGTATTTTGAGTTAATTTGCTCATCATCCTAAAAATAAAAGTGAACTCAGTCATCAAAATCTTTTTGACCCCACAGGGATCAACCATGAACCTTCCGGGTGATGCCCCGACAACCAAATCCAGTCAACCTGGGAGTGTCCGACAAGGTGAGTCAAATCTTTAAGTGAAAATGTTCCTCCCTTCATTGGCTAGACAGTGAAAGTTCAGATACTTTTTGATAGTATATATTTAGCTACACATTTATGTTTAACTAAGTGTTGATAATTTTTAGTAACTTGCTCGAAGGAAAAATAGATAAAGTAAAGAGAAAGTTTGACAAAAAGAGACATTTTTGCCAATTATACAATAATAATATAGTAAGTTTCTTTTAATATAAAACTTTTTAATACGAAATCCCTGTCACTACAAAAAGATTTTGAGTCCCCATTTTTGCCCCTCATCATTCTATACCTCACAACTTCCTTTACAGCGAAATCTGCTTGACATAAGCAATATCTATGTTCCTGTAAAGTTTGTGTTGTCAGGGTTTTACTGTAAGTTGTTCTGGACTATTATAACGTATTGATGAATCCGAGCAAGTAAGAAAGATTTTTGGCTAGAAAACAGATTTTTTTGCAAGAAAGAAACATTTTTGGCAAGAAAGAACCATTTTTGGTCAATGTTTATGAGTTCGGTTTTAATTCAATACTTATTTATTTGTGTCCAGATTTGCCTGGCGAGATGCAGAAGAGTGCATCTTTCATCAGTGCTCACACTGGTTCTGAGGAAAATCAACCACTGATGCAGAGCTCTGTGTCCCTTATTGGGCCTGATGGTCAGCCAATCGATAATGAAGAAGGTATACTTTTTACTCTCAGTTGTAGTCTTTTATTGTCGGAGAGAATGTTGTTGTTATCCTCCTTGTGGCTTGCATGAAAAAGACTGTGAAGTATAAAACAAATGATCTGGCTCTTGTCATGACATCCTACAGGCATCAGGTTTTATATGACGTCCAGTTATTCTGGCATTAAAATATGGCGTTTGTGTCATTAAACAGTATAATCCTTGTTTGCCACATCATCTTACTGGTTCACCACTTACTGGTTTATTTGAAAAAAAAATCCAAGAAAAAAGACAGCTAGAGAGTGCAGAGAGGTCTCGTCTCGGACATTGCTGATTCTGTCAAGAGTACCCTGTCCTTTTAAACAGAAGCACTTGTTTGAAAAGGGCACTTGCCTTGAAGATCTTCTGCTGGCATGCTGTCTGTTTGTCTTGGGAGTTTTCTCTTTACTTCTTGACACTATCTTTAAACAATTACCTTTATAGAGGTTGCATGCAACAAAGTATTTTTATTATATTTTCACTGTCATAAAAGACGTGAGTGACACTATTTGGCCCTGCTTTACAGATTTAGCAAACCAAAATAGTTGCAGTAATGCGCTTTTCTCTCTTGACAGCTGTTATATGTCTTCTTTCAAAAGGTGGCAAATAGTTCACTCGGTAACGTTTACCTTAAATCTATCATGAAAAATTTTTTGTCCTGTAAGTTTGGTATCTGACTCAAAATGCTGTAACAATTTTTGTCATATGGCAAAAGTGCCAAAATTAAATCAAATTTGAGTATCCAGAAAGAGATGGGGGATTTGTTTTTTAAGAAATGTCAGTTTTCACCAAACTAGCCTCAGCTAAGATTGAATTACACAAAATCAAGTGACTACAATTGTGATTGCCTTATTCAAGAATCTAACGATAAAATGGCTTCGACTTAATATTCTAAACTGTTTTGCCAACAATATGGATTTCTCTATGTTTTTAAAATAATTGAAAGTTGACTTTTTTAGTGTTGTTTTCCCTTAAATGCATGCTCCCTGCTTTGTTCTGTGATCTTATCACCTACTGCCTTGTGTTCTTGACTATTTTTTGCACCTAACAAGCATCTTATATTTTATATGCAGTGCGGACTTTTTAAAACTTACCAGTACTGAAACTTAATTTATTTTACAGCTATGACAAAACCTTACTTGAGCCAGATAAATTCAAGAAGGATTGAGTATTTTTGTAAGCAGAGAGAATATATGATTTGACTGTTCTTCCAATATTTCATGTTTGAAGGGTTTTGGAGCATACAATACTGTGTCAAAATAATATAAAAAATGCTTCGAATTTCTGCTGTTTTGTGGCTGTATTTTTCACTCTTGATGCAAAACATAAGTGATATATTTTTGTTCAGTGACGTTTTTATTTCAAATAAGCTGAAATCAGATGTTCCCAGTAAAATGAATGTAGGCCTTCTCTACATTATATGACAACATTAGAATAGACGGTTATATAATTATATCTTTACATATGCAGTCCATTTGTTTCATCACACTATTCTCTTTCACGAGTGCTATGCACAAATCAAGGATATATCGTTCAGGAAACCCGTACTCCTCTCTATGTCTGTTACCCCTCTATCATATTAATAATTTTTCCTTGGGTCAATTTTAACTCAAATATCAGAGACCGCTTAATTTAAAAAATGTGTATGCTTTCTATCAGGAGATAAAATTAAAATGATAGGCATTGCATCATGGTGAAATCAGGCACTTGTCAAAATAATGAAATTGAAAAAACTGGCTTTTTTTGCTGCCGGCTGGGCAATTGATCAAATTTTTTTTGGGCGCCAACACCTTTTATATGCTTTTAAAACACTGTGGATTTTACATAAAAATGTTGATTACAAGCAAAGAAAAAAAAGAAGTAAATTTGCAGGTTCCAAGGACCTTCAAGCTTTGGAAGTCACTAATCTTTGGCTACCATTTCCCCCCCAATTTCACCCCAACTTTCTTCCATTGCAAATATCTCGACTTTTCTTCAAGATAGACGGATAATAATTATTCTTTTCCTCAAAAATCAAGACAAGTGAACAAGCTTTAAAATGATACCAGTAACTCCATAAATTCCCCCAAAATGACGAATACTGTGCCGTACCATGGCACATAATTTCTACTCCCCACCCCCCTATATTTTGCTCTGCTTAATTCATTGATTGGATTTACGGGTTTCTTGTAATGAGTTCTGGAAAATCATCTGCTTGCATGTTGTGCTCACCGAGTGTTCTGTCTTGTTGTGTTGTTCAAGCAGCGAAAGCCCCCGCACCAGCTCAGACTAAGGGTGAGATGTGTTCACTTGATAGTGTTGCTAGATTAGATCAGACACTCACCCAAAGACCGTGAATTACAATACCTTTGATTAATTTAAATACACATTCTCAGCGTGTCGCGAGATCCAAGGTTCCAAATTATACCAGCTAGGTAAGCAATATAAGTGGGAGCTGACTACTTGTTTGATGTTGGGAATTGATATCTGGGTTATCTCCCATCGTTTGTTCACACCCAAGGTTATAATCATGCACAATAAAAATAAACGAAGTGTTTGGCAAGGCTACGGTGACAGCGTTGGGATGAACGGCATTAGTGGAGAAATAAGTGCTTCTTTAATTAAGGCGCAATCAACTCCACCTCGGCAAAGAAAGTGTGCCTTTGTCAGTTTCAGATTTTTATGGCTTTGTTGATAATATCCTTATCTTCTTTCTCGATGAATTTTGAAGAATGTGGGACTTATAATAAATTGAAGAGTACAGAAAAAGTAAATCTTATACTTAGCCATCCGTTTGAAAGTAACTTGACTTACTAGCCTACACATGAACGTCATTTCCATCGCCAATATCGCCACAACTGGATTCCTGTGATATTATGCGTTGAAGACGCTTTTTTACTTGCCGCAATATACACGGGAGGTCGAAATTTACTAATTTATTTTGCTCATTTTTTTCTAGTTCAGTAGTTCAGTCGTAATGTCATTCTTAATTGAGCGTTCACCATGGACATATTTTTATACTAGCCATAATTCGTAATTCACGGTCTTCCCTCCTTTTAGTCATAACACCTGCTGTTGTTTGCTGTGTGACTCTCACTGTTGCTATTTCACTATGATTAATACATGTCACAAATGTATTTCGATTTTGTCCTGTTGCTGGCGAACAATCGTATACACACTCTCCCTTCTGTGGTGTGAGGGTTAGGAGCTTTGTCGTTGCACGCAAGACTCGAGTTCGGTTCTCGCTTGGGGAGAATTTTTGTCGAGAACATGAATCTCAATCTTTCTGATGGGCGTACTAACGTATACCACTCAGCTCAGGCTCGCCCTGACAAAAACGGTCAAAGCTGGCCTCCTTAAATATATATAATCCCATTTGTGTCGATGGGGAACGTAAAAAAATCTAAAACAAAAAATGTCTTACTGCTGGCCAACAATAATTGTAGCCTACTACACACCCTGCCCGCAGGCGAAACCACGAGCCTCGACTCCTCACCGACGGTGTGCACGTGGGAAAATACACAACCGATACGCCTGGAACGAAAGGGAAGGAGATATTTCATTCTCTTGAAGTTCATTAATATTTTCTGTTGCAAGTTTTTTTTCCTCTCCAAACATCATGCTCGGAACCAGCCTTAGACTTCGAAATTAAAATCATGGACCAAATAATGTTCACTTGGTATTCGATTTATCTCCCTCCTACGTGCACGCATGCGTGCTTGCGTGCCTGCTCGCCTGCCTGCCTGCATATCTGTCTGTCTGTCCGTCTGTCTGTCTGTGCGTCTGTCTGTTCGCCTGTGTTAAAAGTTAATTAAAAGTACAGGGTGGCCGCGCAAAAACATGCCCGGCACTGAAATGCAAAGAAATTATATATTTGCTACATATTATTCAAATCAGAAACTGGGATTTTAGAATATGACTCTGCTGGCATTAGGGTGTGTCTAAGTTTAAAACAAACCGAACAAGGTATTTTGACAGGAATTCATTGTTTCATTGTGCTGAAACTATATTACTTCATATAACTTATAGTATAGCTGCCTCGTCTTGAGACATTTACACAATTTCTTTAGAACTGCAACGAAGGCCTACCGTTTCGACTACTTGTGACACTAGGGTCTTGCAGTTCTCTTCAATCCAGAGTGGACCTATAAATAATGCAATGGCTGCCTAGTGCCACCCATGCTGTGCATGACCCCTCATGAAGTGTGCGCTCAACGACATAATCGGATGGGAGTACAGACTTCTTAAAATTGATTCGCCCATCTAAATGAAGACGTGGTTCAACCGAGAACCTTGTTTTGTTTACCAAATCTGTGCTTTTTTTTTCAAACTGCTAAACATACCACTGGCATGTCAACACGTGATGCGATGTCTTCATTTGTTCAGTTTTTGTTTTTATTGCGAAACGATACAGATCCAGACTGAGATCATATCGCAGTTAGCATTCGAATGGACTCGCGCTTCAAGTCTTCCGTTTGACGAGTCAGCTGTCTGGCTGACGTTTCTGGATAGGCTTCGATTAAGTCCTTTACCCCCCCTGATGTTCCTTTTAGTGCTCGATGTTTGGCGTCTCCTAGAAAACGACTGAGGGCTCATTTGTTTTGATTTCAGGGGTATTGATTGCTATTATAAGTGTACTAAGCGCGCTTTGGTACATTATCAACTGGCTTGCGACACAACCGTCTGCATTAGAGGCATATGAAGTGCAATCTCCGCCTTTCGATTCTGGTACTTAGCGTCCGCCCTGTTCTTACGATGATGATCCAGGTGGTCTTGGTGGCGGCCAGGAACGGAACCATCCGGTATTGATCCACCATGGGGCGATCCCAAAGAGGCCTTTGGGTGATCGTGAGTTGCAGTTGTCGACGTTGGTTTTACAGCTTGGAGGAGATTTCTGGCGCTCTCTCTCTCTCTCTCTCTCTCTCTCTCTCTCTCTCTCTCTCTCTCTCTCTCTCTCTCTCTCTCTCAGTCTCTCTCTCTCTCTCAGTCTCTCTCTCTCTCTCTCTCTCTCTCTCTTTCTCTCTCTCTCTCTGTGTGTGTGTGTGTGTGTGTGTGTGTGTGTGTGTGTGTGTGTGTGTGTGTGTGTGTGTGTGTGTAAACACCATTGTATGACTTTTATGTATGTGGGTTACAGATTCCCAAAGCCCTGAGCATCACAGCAAGTGTCACAGTGGTTCTGGTATTTCTTACATTTATTGTTTTTGGGGTGCTTGTTTTTTATTTTTTTTATTTCATCTTAATGTTTTTGTTGTTTTGTTTTGAGTGTTGTGGCTTTGGTAAATTGGGGGTGCGGACTTTGGCATGTTTAAAGCTGTTGCTTACCTTTGTTTCAGTTGTCAAATTACTTGTTTTGAAAAGGGCACCTGTCTTTCTCCGACTTTCTTTTATTTCGGGATGATTATGTGTATGTATGTGTGTGTGTGTGTGTGTGTGTGTGTGTTTGTTTGTTTGTGTGTGTGTGTGTGTGTATGTGTGTGTGCGTGTGTGTATGTGTGTGTGCTTGTGTGTGTGTGTGTGTGTGTGTGTGTGTGTGTGTGTGTGTGTGTGTGTGTGTGTGCGCGCGTTCGTGTATGTATGGCGTTCGTGTATGTATGGCGTTACTTCGTTTGATCTTTTTCTTTTAGGTAGGAAAAAAGTCTTAGAAGAGAGAAAAACAGGATAGATAGATAGATAGATAGATAGATAGATAGATAGATAGATAGATAGATAGATAGATAGATAGATAGATAGATAGATAGATAGATAGATAGATAGAAAGAAAGAAAGAGTGAGACAGACAGGCAAATGGACAGGTAGACAGGCAAACAGACTGAGAAAGGAATGAACTCGCAAGAGATCTCGAGGGATCACGGTAAATGTCTGACAAATTTCCAAATCCTAAGAAAAAAGTTCGTAGAAATGTCAGGTATTTTCCACTTTTATATTGAAGAACTCAGACACAAAAGGCGAAAGTCACCTTGAAGTCGTTCGAGAAAGTGAACCCCACTCCCCACAAAAACTCAACGGACGACGAGTCTATTATGCGCGTTGAATCTGTTTCATGTCCTTGGATTTCAAGATTAGGGCTCCTAAAAATCCGGCTCGCTTTTGTCTATCTTTATCAACCTTGAACATATGAAGAGCTGATGTGGAAGCTTGAATTCCTCTAAATCTCGCTAGGCGATGTTTGCAGCTGGTGATTAAGGCGAACAAACTAAGAACCTACTAAAAATGAAGTCATTCCCCTCCTTCGATTCTGGATTGAGATCGTTTGAGTGAGAGGGCTGGTATAGCTGTTTTTTGTCTGGAGCTTAGGGTGGATTAGACTCCCCAGAGCGACGAGCAGTAAACGAAAGGAAACTAACGACACGCAGAATTAACAGATTTATTCTAAATGTCTTTTTTTCTTTTCTCAAGAGTTTAGGCTTTATCTACCCCCTCTCCCCTATCCTTCCCCCCCCCCCCCCCACCACATCACAGACCAACCAACGTCCACTTATAAGGAGGCCTGCCCTTCGAATGATTTTTTCTTTTTGTTATATCCTGCATCATCGTAGCAGATTAAATGTCCATACATCACGATAAGATTTTTAAGTCAGCGTTCCAGATTGCGTTTCTTCGTTATTCTATGCAAATGAAAACATTCATTTAAAAGTTAGAAGGAAGAACGAATGTTAAAACATGTGAAATAGTCTTTGTATATGTTTAACTGGATATTCTTTAGAGCGTGAGCATTTGGAAACACTTTTTTCATAGGTAAAGTAAGTAAGTGTAGTGTATGGGTTTTAACCTTTTCATAAGTCATTTTTTTATACGGACCAAGTAAAGTGAAATACTACGTTCATTAAATTGAGCTCACTAAGTACATGCCCCGCGCAGCAATGACACATAAATGGATCTATAAGATTTAAGTTTGTATTATATAAGAAAAGCCAATGATATTGTAGACGATTCCATCGTGATCTTGCCTGTGTCAGAATGATATGGCAGCGAATAGTCTTGCTACCTATTAGATCACGAGTGGGGCTTTGAAACGTTAAAATTTTAATTTTAAAAGGGTCTTCGAGGGTCTGAAGTGGTGTTGCAGTCTTCATGGTCAAAGGTTGGGAAGATAAAACGTTCGTTTGTGCTAAGAAATGTATCCACTACACTAAATGTGATATCATTTTTCTCGGCCAAGAGCTGGCTCAAGAGGAACTGTGACTTTTCAAATATGTACGGAATGGAGTAATTGTCCTTGAACAATGCCTTGCCACAAAGTGGTGTTTGTAATGAATTAAAATGAGTGAACTTAAAGCATTATCTTTTGGGCTTTTTCTTTAGTTTTTGTGTTTGAAACTTTTAATTTGCTGTTAGCATATAACAAAGTTTGTTCCCCAAAACTGTGCCAGCGTTGCGTCCTCTATCCCAAATGCTGTTATGTTAGTAAAATGTTACCTTCAGAATCTCAATGGTTTCCTGTTAGTTCTGTGGTGCTGGCGTGCTAAGGGTTGGTCCAACATTTCCTTCTAAGTGCCTCAAGCATTGGGCAGGCTTGTAATTGTAGCAGATAGTTCCTTGTTTGGTTGACGATTTTGCACTGACACTGCTCCGCGTCACCGATCTTGAACTTGGTGCAGAGAAGTTGTTTCAGTCAGTTGTGTCTTGTTGCTAAGCCTGAACAGAACAACCTGCTCTTGGCAGGTAAGGAGATAGTAGGGGTTATCCTGGTTGTTGTATGGGTGTTAATCCTTCCACTTTGTTTGTGGTAGCCCCTTTAAATGAGATTATTTTGCATTTTTCATACCCACGATCTCCTGTTTCATTGCTCTCTGGGTTGCCTTTAATTTCTTTAGGATATTTCTGGTAACTGGCTAGGTTTGCCATCCACAGCTTATCACTGGGACTAGGTACTGATTGAAAACGTGTCTTTTTTAATGATTTTGGCAGGTTTTAATAAGTAAATATTTCCCTGCATCTTCCAAAGCACCCTCAAGCCACATGTTTCCTTCTGTTCACCCCATATTTTGTTCTCTCCTTCATACCTATTATCTGCCTTAATTGAATGAAACCACACTCGTGCCCCATCCAACAAGTATCGCGACCACTGCATCATCATCTAGACAACTACAAGACTGTGATATTGGCAATGGTTGAACTCATGTGAAAGATGCTTGCAACCTCCCACCCCTCCCATAAAAACTTGGATGACAGAAACACTTAACAAAAGAAATAAACGAACAAACAAAGAAAAAATGAACAAACGAGCAAGCAAAACAAAACAAACAACCCCCCCCCCCGAAAGAAAACCCACCACAGAAACAAAACAAAATTCCACCCACAAGAAAACTAAAAGTTTTCAAGAATCAATGAAAAAGGAAAGAGTAAAACGAAATACAGAAACTCCATCCCCAAAAACAACAACAACAAACAAACAAACAAACACACACAGAGCACCAAAAACTGCGCTGCCCTCAAGAGAACATCCTTCTTCTGCCCCAAAAAACAAAACAACACAGGAAAACCACCACACCAATCAAAATAAACAAACAAAACATATCTCCATATCATGTCATCTTAGTCACTGGTTTGGCGCTGCGCAGCATAATGTACAACCCTTTAAAAAATTACAGCCAAGATATCGGTCAGGTTAGATGCTTTTTTCCCCCCAACGATTTCAAGGAAATGTTACTTGTGTCAAAGAATGAGCACATCTAGTATCTTTTCTTTTGTTGTGGCCATTGGTATGTTTGCTGACTTGAAAATATTGCCGAGTAATGTGCTTTTTAAATGGCAGTTCGACCGGCCTCGCTCTTTACTTTCCCCTGCGTTTATCTGGCAGTCAGTTGTGGAGGGTCATTGTCTCACGTAAGGGGAGGAAACGATATCATTTATCAGACGATCAACACCCCCCCACCCTTCCCCCGACAGAGAACATACCGAACAGAAATTCAAAGCAGGCAAGAAAATATAACAATACATATTAAGAGTCGTCGCAGTACAGCAAGCCAAATTTAATCATCCCAACTTTCGAGGAATCTAATTTGCAAGCCAAATTGCTTAAATTCTTGCCCAGGGCCACTGTCTATTTTTTTCTTGTTTTTGGCGTGGGTACCTACCCAAATCTTTTGATTTGAATGACGTGACTTGACTTCGCTTTATTTGGTTGTTTTTGTTCAAATGGCATACTGGTGTTTGATAATAATTGGTCACCCTACCCTTTCAAGGAACCCCCTAAATATCAGTGGTCAACACATCTGAAAATATTTCTAGTGTGTAAATCTGAGAGCATACTGGCAGCACACTCTGAGATTTTACGAGGTAAAAGTCTACTTTGAAATGTGAAACCAACTCATTCGGAAATATAATGTAGTCTAAAAATAATAAATGAAAATAAAAATGAATTAAATATAATTTTAAAAAGATAAAATCACAAAAAAGCTGCCCTCAATATTTCTTACTTTGGCCATATTCTTTTTTTACCACACATGGCTTGAAGTTGAAGACTGTCGTCTTATAATTGCTATCAAGGTAATCCACCTGATAGCAGGAAAACTGAAGAGATGTTGACTGCGTTTTGAATCACCGTCAAAAGGTGCAGATAAAGATATTTGCGCCTTAGGATTTTTTTTTCAGACACTCGAAATCTAGAACTTTCGTGATATCATTATTCATTGTGGTGTTTGAAAGATCAGGGTGCTCTTTATAAGCAACAGCAGCAGCTTGCACAGAATAAAGATAAGAATGCCCATTCACTACCTCACTACCACCACCTTCATCACCATAACAGCCACCACCACTACCATCGCCATCACCATCATCATCATCAGCATTTTCAATTATTGTTGTAGATCGAAAAGAAAGATATACCGGTGATCTGAATAAAGTCAGGTACAGTATATAGTATTATAGTACATTCCAGATATGAAAAAGAGCTTAGCGTAGTGGTATCAAGGTATAGAATCTAGACCGAATTATGTGAATTTCAGTTAGAAAAAAGGGCGCTCTGTGACTTGAAAAGATGTCCGAGAGCAGTCATTGTGGGGTTGTTTTAAAATAATAGGCTGTGCGGTGGTATTAATAACAAAACCATGCACTCAACATTTGACAGCCATGTTCAACGTTTTGCAACTCCGATCTCACTTACCATTCTTAAAAATACTTTAGATTCTCACAAATCTCACACCCACACAATATTTTAGTGTCACAACTTCGCCCAGGGCGAGGTGTTCTTAAAATTAAATAGACCAGCTACAAGTCGTTGGTATACATCTTGTGAAAGGAATGCTAGAGCCGCGCCCTTTTATTAATATTCCCATTTTTATAGATAGAATCCCCCCTTATCAAGCTAATTGAGTGTTTGAAGAAGATAGGTGTCGATGGCAAGGATATCATCAGAATCGTTGGAAATCTCTCTTAGTTGCTGAACGCAGCAATTTAAGTTGGTAGTGACCTTTCAAAATATAATATACCAAAATCCGCAGAGGAATGAGATACGTTTATGTCCTCTCTCCATATCTTTTCAACATCTCTTCGGAGTTCACTTTTGAGAGAATCTCAAGACCTGCAAGGTGTCAATACTGGGGTCCGAAACATCTATAACTTGAGATGCACAGATGATAAAGTCCTGCTTGCAAACTCAAATGAAAATCTCTCTATCATTATGAACGTAGTGAAAGAAAACAGCTCGGTAAGGCAGGCCTCGACATGAAAGATGAGAATACAAAAACAATGGTCCTAAGCAACAAAATGTACTGGCAAAAAGATAGACACATTCTAATTATAGACGAGGAGAGAAAAGAACATAGTACAACAATTCAAAGTAGACGATGGCCAAAGTGAAAATGAAATTAATACAGTGGACCAATTATCTAAAGAGCAAAAACTTTCAACTTTCAACTAAACTTTAAACAAATGAAACTCAACTTACGAGATGATAAATTGTCGATATGAAGAAAATCGCCAAACGTCTTTTAAAAAGTATCGTATCAAGTTTCATCCAAAATTGAGTGAAATACAAACCTTTACAATTTCTTCAAAATCAACCATGCTGTGCATTTGTGCATTAAAGAAAACATTTATTTTGTTACTGGCATTTCCAAGCAAACTAAGAGAAGATGGCTATTCAAAGTATTGCTCAAAGTGATGATTATTTTTTAAATAGACAAGCTCGAATATGCCGTTAGAAATGTTGAACAATAATATGGCATATTTTTGGGTTGATATTTGAATCTTCTGATCAACATTTAGTTTTAGCTCTAAGATTATTTGTAGCCTCTGTCTTTAAAAAAGCCCCTTAGAAAACATTTCACTTTTAATTGGTCTTTTTATTTTTAGACACCTGTCTGTGGCAATGTCAGATTTTAGTTGTGAACATAGCAAGTTGAAATGTGACGTAGGAAGGTCAAATGTGACATACAGTTTCATTTGTGAGCACAGCTAGGGCAAAATTGTATGAGTACATAGTGCGTTCAAATGTGAAAATTACCATTTCAAATGTGAATGAATGCAGAAACAAATGTCATATTTGAAAAGAAATAGTATTCTATTTGAAGCTGCTATGTTCACATTTGATCTTACAAGGTACGTGAGCGATAGGCTACTAAAAAGAAAAGATGTCACATTTGAACTTTCGATGTCACAAAACTTCACCAATATTAGATTTGCTCATGCAACGTTACAATACAGCTACAAAACAAAATAAAAAAGCACAAAAACAAAACAAAAACAAAACCCACAATAAAATAAAACAAAACAAAATTGGACGAAATTTATTTGCGTCCAGCTCCTGAATCGACACTACAAGAAAATGCGTGGAACAACCCTTTTCACTTATTACGTTCACATTTGAAGATAAAGTACTTTTATAATAATATACCGTGTTGCAAAAGTTCTGTCACGCCCACCGTCAAAGTACAATAGCTCATTTACTATTTTACATAACTGAGCGAAATTTGGTACACATGATGTACATTCATTTTCCGCCAGCATGACATAAAAAGAATAAGTGTCTAGTGTCTTTCTTTGATAACTTTATTCACACTAACACTTGATGAAAAATCCAAACCAAAGTTTGCCCAGTGTTGCGTGTGGCCTCTTCCAACTTGATTTACTGCTACAAAACATCTGTTCATTGACTGAATTAAAGTCCTTTTGGTTGCTTAAGGAATCCCTTGCCATTCTTGGTGAAATGCAGCCTTCAGTTCATGACACGTTTGCACAGGGTGTGGCCTGTTTTTAACCTGCCAGTAAAGGTCATCTTTCAGATGTTCTATAGTACCCCCCCCCTTTTTTTATTCCAACACCCCCACCTCCCGTCCCGTTTATGAATATTGACCATTTGTCCACCCCCTCCCTTTTATTCTTTTATTCTTACCCCCCCCCCCCCCCGTACATTCGATACCTCAGAGTACAATGCAAGCAGTCGAGGGAGCGCTTCAACACTACCAAACTGACACGATCTTTCGCTGAATATAGCAGAGGTACTTATTGAAGTAAGAAAACCCCCCAGTGTGAACTGCATTTCCCAAAGACACAACCTCCGTCTTCCCACACTGACGGAGTTCGAAACTACGCCCTTTCGTTTGCGAGCTCAGAAGCCTAACCACTAGGTCACAAATGCCACACAATATTGCAGCAATAAATCGTTAAGAGAATAGGCACAGCTTGACTCCATGACAACAAGGATAGCCTACGTGTGCTTCAGATTTATGTAGCGTATAATAGTAAACACGTTTTAATGAGGAATTCCGGAAGTAAGGAACAGAATCAGCCATGCATTGGGCCCGATGAAGGTCTTTTGACCACTGTGAAAAAAACGCAATCTGAGATGGGATTGGCACATACATAGATCAACAGGACTGGCAAAGATGTTCCAACAGGGCACTGTACAGGGAGGGAGAAGGAAAGGCAAGCAGAAAAAGAGAAAGAAAGACAACGTAACGGAATTGACAGGTTTGAAGTTGAGTGAATAAGCACCTCGAAAGACTGAAAGTAGAGACGGATGGAGAAAAATGGTTACCCGATCATCCCTGGTGCCCCAACGGTCATCAAGACTAAGGTATAAGCAAAAATGATAATAGCTTACTAGTCTTACGATCGGCTGAAAACCAGCTGGAGGCATAAATTGGACTGAAAACTATTAGTTTCACTTGCAATTACATGTGTAATGTCCCCTATAACACACTAAAGCAGCGTGAACGAAGAATTCGAGAAGAAGGTAATAAACTTTGAACCGCTTTTCAAGAGAATGATTTTTAACCTCTGTCGCTAAATGATTCGTTTTATCTTAGCCCTTACCCATTACTAGAATAACCCCATTTTATTCCTTGATATCGAAATACAATAATAACGTATCAGAATTGGGATTCCTATCTCCCTGTAGTGACCGCGGGCAACTAATAGCGATAGACAAACAGAAGCATGCTGACAGGCAAACGGGAACGGCATAACAGTTGAAATACACACTCACGCAATGCTCAGAGATGTGAGCGATCATCTACCAAATCATATCTACTACATGTATTACTAAAAGTATTCCGTTACAACAACAACAACAACAAAAGAGGGGGGGGGGGGGGGAGGAGAGTTCAGCGTCACACTTTCCGCAAATGAAGTTATGATATCAGTGGTTGCGAGTTCTACTGAGTCCTGACCAAGGTTTAACTATTGTTACAGAATAATTTTAGACCATTGTTGGGTACAATGGAACTCTCCTCAAGTGACGTCACTAACGACCTTCGTGATCATTTTCACTGATAAGTGACCTATTTTTTGGAGTGGGGACACGTTTTAAAACCTCACTTTTCTGCAAGTGTCTTTATCGGTATACTCAAGAATAAAGCGATAGCCCTGCTGTTTGTTGATGGTTTTTTGAGTGTGTGTGGGGTGTGTGTGTGGGGGGGGGGGGGGGGTGGTTGGTGGTGGGTCCAAACTGTGCACTCAAAATATAAAAAAACCTGCAGAGAATAATGTAAAATCTAAAAAAGTACTAGCAGTTAGAAGTTTGCTCAGTTATGAGATTCGTAGTCGCTGTCTCACACGTGTCAAGTTTTAATCTGTGAGAAACTCTGGAATTTTGTACCTTAGGAGTTTTATTAACATTGTACAGTTTCAGCAGTGCTGATTTCTACCTTCAGTAGGCCGGTTGAAAGAGGAAATTATTCATTCTTTCGTGTTCAAAGAAAAAGTAACTCCTCAGGACTAAAAGAAAACCCCTTCTTTCAGGATACACGTAAGTAGCAGACAAATCAAGGTAATTAGGACATTTCAATCCGATTTGAATAACAAAGAAATACGTGTGTCAACCTAGAGTGGGTTAAAAGACAATACGCGATTTAAAGCATTCACCTGAACAGTAAAAAAAAGGTTGCCTTATTTTCATCAATACTACACTATAAAACCCTTCTATAAAACACGGTCTATAGCTTGTTCACTTTCGTCTGACCGCGTTCTAATTCATATGCAACAATGAGTACGTAACTTTGCATGTCACTCCCGTAGGACATCTGCCAATCAAAAATGTATTTTTTAAAGTGCAAAGTTACTTGCGTACAAGAAAATTAATAAATGAGTCAGACTGTTTTTTAAATTAACGAGAACAGACTAAAGTGAACAAGTGTGGCTAAATGACAAACTAATCATTGTCGATGGACTTTGGGAGAAAAGTGTTAGGGAAAGGGAGGAGGGATTGGGGAATAGATTGGGAAATGGGTTTGAGGAATGGGTTAGGGACTGGGAATGGGAGGTGGGATTGGGGAAAGGTGGAGAAAGGGAGGATGGGTAGTTGGTAGGCGAGATGGGTATGTATTTAAAAAAAAAAAATTTTATACAGGGTGATTAAAAAAAAGAATACACCAAAATCCTCTCGCGATATTTAAAAATCGAAAAACAATAATAAGAAAAACAAAAAAACAACCCTAGCTTGGTCGCACGTTTTGTACATTCATTCAAGTTTATATTTCATATTTTTAAAGTGTTCAATGTGGCCTCTACCGGCAGCACGGACAGTATCAAGCCGATATGAGAATTCTTCCCAAACGCACCCCAGAATGTCTCGGTCCACCGTGTTGATATGCTGGAAGTGGTGGAACATCAACTTTGTTTTTAACATACCCCCACAAAAAAACACAAACAGTGAAGTCCGGGGATAGGGCAGGCCAACCGCAGAGAGCGATGTCTTTAGCACCACTCCTACTAATCCGCCACTTAGGCACGTTTTCATTCAGATAAGCTAGAACCCAGAGATGCTAATGGGGCGGTGCTTCATCTTGTTGAAAATTAAATTCTTGTGGGGATATGTTAAAGCAAAAGTTTATGAGCTACCACTTACAGCTAATATCAATGACACGAAGGATCAAATAACAGCTACAATCAACACAGTGGCCTGGGAAATTCTGAGGCGCGTTTGGGAGGAATTCTCATAGATCTATCGGCTTAATGCTGTCCGTGCTGCTGCTGGTGGAAACACTGAGTAAAACAAGAAATAAAAACTTGAACTTGAAGGGTGTAGAATCTTGTTTTCTACTGTTTTTCGTTTTTGAAATATCGCGTGGATATTTTAGCGTATTCTTTTGAATCTCCCTGTATATTTGTTATATGTATCTATTATGTATGTGTAAATGTATGTATATTTAAATATATATATATGTATATGTATATTTAAATGTATATGTATGATAATATACATAAGTAACATTATATATAATGTAATATGTATATTATATAACGGGAGGGGTTAAGGAATGGGATGATGGGTTGAGAAATGGGAATGGGAGAAAGGGTTGTTGGTGGGCGAGGTGGATGAAGAGAGACGGATGAATAACGGGTATATACAACGGGAGTCCTCTTATTCGTACAGTCCAACCAGAGAGCCCGACAAGGGCTAGGCAATGAAGGGGTTAAAGCCCTGAACTACCAGCTTATGCAGCAGATAAATTTAAAGCTAAATAACTTCTGCTTCATCAAACCCTGACAAATTAAAAATATATTTACGTTAAGAGTCGCCTGAAAGACGGTCACTTGAAGCACACCGAGGCGTGTTGGAGGAGACATGAGTCCTACGTCGCCGTAGAAGTGAAGGGGTTAATGTCAGCTAACAGTGTCAGTATGGCCATGCTGGTCAAGAATTTGACCAACACAAAGGAGTTCTTGATGTGAGTTCAAGCCTGATCAGAACTATTTTGATCCTTCTTTGACCACTGAACACTTCTTCAGAAGAGTATAACCATCAACACAGCACACCAATTCTTCACTTATTAATGGACTGCACACAATCAGGTCTCTGTGAAGGCAGTAAACTGGGAGAGCAAAAATACACCAGTGCAGAAAAAGGAAGATACTAAACAAAATGGATTTCCCAAAATGGAAATCGAACTCACGTTTTTGGTGAGCATGTTTAACCTCTAACTAGCAAATACCACGAGTTTGAGTTCGACTTCAACAGACATAAAACACTAGATCTATGTCTATCTGATAGTTAGCCGGAAATTCATCGTCGTGGATGAAAATGTATTTGTAAGCAAAGGCAGACATGGTATCACCAGGACTCGACTGGATGAGAACGGAGACTATCATTATCATAGAAACAGAAAAATTGTTGTGAGGGGGGGGGGACTGAAAAGAAGGGGTTAGGAGACAATCGGGGAAGGGGGGAAGGGGAGGGACGACATGGTGCAATATACTTAGCTGGCTGGCACTAGATCTAGGCCTATTTGGAGGTGCATAGTTCGACACCTGAAGAATTCCAAGGGTTAAATCTATTTCTTGGAAACTTGCAAAGCTCTAAAACAATGTCGCAGGTGAAGGTTTATTCTCAAAATAAGTTAAAATCGTTTTTGCATGACGTGATGGCTACACCCATGTTGGTCCCACAAAGAATGTAGACCATGGATGCGCGTGCGTGGTAGGTCAAGTGAATTCTAATTTGAGACCTCGGTTAGGCCTTTACTAGTGTGTCAGTCATATCGCAGACGGTGAACATGTACGAGGAGCTACCTTTTTCTAATACCAAAACTGTTATGAAAAGTGCCTTGAACATGAAACCTAAAGCCAAACAAAGACAAAAGAAAAAAAAGGGCTAAGAGTTGGAGAGAGAGCGATCAACTGACATAACGACCTTGAGCGTTACTCTGATGTGATCCGCCTGTCCACTCGTTACACACAGGACAAATATTTGTCTGAAGCGTGTAGGAGAAAGAAGGCGTTATGCGTTAATGCTTTCATGCATCGGAGAGAAAAAAGCAAAAAAAAAGCAATAATCAAAAATACAACAACCCCTAAACAAACTAGTTTTTACAGGGAGGAGACCGGTAAGGGGACGGACCCCCCCCCCCCCTTCCAGACAATTGAAGAATTTAATGCGTAACACTGTGGGGATCAGTGGGTTGTCGTAAGTGGAAATGTGAGATTGCTAGTGAAAGACAGAGAGAGAGAGAGAGACACGGATAGACAGAATGAACGAGAAAGCGAGGGCAAGAGAGAGAGAGAGAGAGAGAGAGAGAGAGAGAGAGAGAGAGAGAGAGAGAGAGAGGGGGGGGGGAGAGAGAGAGGGAGAGAGTGAAGATCCGTATTTAGGCGACAAGCTTCTTCGACCCTTCCTGTCAGGCTACAACTTTCCAGCGGAAGAAGGAAATAAAAAACCTACATAGGCCTATTATTTGATGGGTACTGGCGAACCGTTTAACACCCGGATAATTTCACGATTTTCTGTTTGCACGAGTGTAAAGTGATCTCAAATGGCGTTTGAGTTTGTGTTTCCTTTTGGTGACCGCCGTGATTAGATTAATATTCTTTAAAAATTGAAATCAAATAACAATTATTCGAGTTTTTGTTTCTTAAGCAAACAGACGCTGTGTGTTTTGATATTGTGCTTGCATTTTTGTACTACCTTTCTTTCATTATGTTGTAATTTTTACTTGTTTTAAGCTTACAGCTTATGGTACACTGCCTCAATAACACACCCCCTCTCGCGCACGGCGCTCCATTAATGGAACGGACTTTCGGAAGCATGAAACGTATGGTTAATTTTTGAATTGCCACAAAAGCAACACAGATCCTTTTATCTGATGTTACAAGGTATGATGAGTCCACATTTCACCAAACTTTGAGAGGCCATGCATTAATGGGTTAACTGCAAGAACGCCTTTATATAGTCTTTTCACTTTCGTCTGTCCACAGTTCACACACACACACACACACACACACACACACACACACACACACACACACACACATACAGACACACATGGATTGTGGGATCACTGTCTACAGGACATGAAACCCTTCAAATGATGAGACGTGGCACATGGACCTCAACCCTCTGGGTTCCACACGCGACACCTCCTTTGGTGTATCGTACACTTCTCCTTCCTGCTCACTACCTTCTTCAATCTTTTCTTCCACCGCTGACCACGTAGAACAAATCTAGAGCTTCCACATCACACAGAATGGGCGCCGTGTTGACCCTGAGGTGAGACTCATGCGGAGGGAAACGGTACCCGGTGGTCGAGGTGAAATCAGTCTGCAGACTAGCCCTCGTCAATGCACTGTTTGGCCCACGTTTTCCTCTTAGAGTTTGGCCCATGCTACTCAATCAGTTAAGAGCTGAAGAACCGCCACTCTGTCCTTGGGTCAATTCTAACAAATGGGTCTATTCCACTCTCGTGAAGAATATAACTCAGGGGGTAACCTTGGCACTGCTCCGAATATCCGAGCACTGTGTCCCCTCGTTGGGCTCGATAGCGGGCGGGGAGCCCCGGAGTCAGACCATACCAGATCAACATATATATATATATATATATATATATATATATATATATATATATATATAACAACAACTCTTTTTACCCTTCCCAAGCACCCAATATTCCAAAAAGTATCGTTCGCCGAAGCGGGTGCGGCTGCCGAGCTGAGCAAACATTCTCAAAAGGAAAATGGAACTTTATGCCTCACTCCTCTTTGGGAGCTTCCCGAACGCCGTGCGTGGCCATCCCCAGTAAGAACGCACTGAAGAGAATGACTGATCTGATTCTTTTCAAGACGCGAGATGTAATTAGACAAGCGCTGAAAAACACCAACTTTCAGAAGCTGTCCTCTTGTGCATTCCCCGTTAAGATCACGTGAGAAAAAAGCAGTTTCTGGATTTCTCAAGATCATGACCTTCGGCGGCAATCCATGTAAATCCGCGCGATAATGGAAATTCAAAAGCTCGAAGCGTGCTTCCGTAACCATGAGCAGCAAGGTCTCATCAATGAAGATATTGTTGTAAATTGTGAGGATGTGCCATGTTTTTCGACCCCCGAAAAGCTTTCAACACAACCTGGAAGTACGGTATTCTTCGACACTGCACTCGAGTAACTTTCAAAATTGCAAAGCAATGCATTTTTTATAGAATTTTAAAGCTTTTGAAAAATAGTTTTGTTTTAAAATTAAAACTGTACTTTACAAAGAAAGTGTAATTACAAGCACATCCATATATGTCTAAAATGTCACATAATATGCATAATCAAAATGTACATTAGATAAGCTTGTGTGGATTTTGGGTGGAGTGCCGGCCTGGGAAAATAGTAGTTGAGGAGGCCAGGTGGAAAAGTTAAGTTTTATCCATAAAGGTTTGAGAGAAAACGGGTAAAAAATCGTATACGAAGTGTTCAGGAAAGAAGTGGAGATAATTCCTTTTCCCTTAACAATAATACACAGCATTTATATAGCGCATATCCTGTTCAACATTAACCTACTCTAAACCTGTATAATCTATATTATTATCACCCAAGAAGATCAGGTACATTTAGAAACATTCTCAGCGTCCAGTCAGCATACAATGCAAACAGCCGATGAAGCGCGCAAACACGAGCAAATTGACAAGATCTTTTGCCAGGTACTCATTTCCACCAGGGTGAAGTGAGGAAAATTAGTGTAAAGCGCCTTTCCCATGGACACAACGTCGGGCACCTGACAGGGTTCGAACCCACTGTCTTTCGTTGGCAGACCACCGTAGATCTTCCCTTCCTTAAATTTTAATGTATGCTACAAAACAGATATTGTAAAATTGTCCTACCACTGTCTTCACAATACCCCTTTTCAATTTCTTCCTAAACACATATTAAAATAAGCAAGAAGCCTTTTCTGTTTTCAGAAATCCACGAAGACGACAAGAGACGTTACGTGTCACACAACAGTCGATCATGGGAGTTGAACACGGTGGAGATGGGAAACAGAAAACTCACAGTCCAAACGACACGAAGACATCTCAGATTGATCACGTAATTACGACTGTTATATTTATGCGAAAAAAATGAACTATTTTCTTATGTGCTAGCTAAAGACCGAAAGGGCGTGCTACAAAATTGTTAGTGCTCTTTCTATCCGTGGTCGGCTATGATGCTGGTTTGAATTCTTCAACCTCGGTGGTTTGAGAAGTTATTGCTCGTGGCTTTCCATTTTAAGCGCTATGCACCAGAGGCTGACGTCAATTAGAGAGCCTAGCTTTAAGATGTACTTTAAGGAACATCTGAAAACTTTATGAGCAACAGAGCAACGGCTTCCCAGGAGTGAAAATAAGACCTCCGTGAGAGGAATATAACTCACAGTATCGTCGTTGTTGTAGTAGTAGTCGCTGTAGTCATCGCTGGCATTGGCTACAACCAAGAGGCCAGCCGCTGGAACAGGGGAAGTTCCACTGTCGTTCATTTTCGAGGTTTTTATTTGTTCAGAATCATTTTACTCTCAGTCAGTATGCTAACAATGCTATACGCCTGCATTGCTTTGTAAACCAAAGCAGCCCTTATTCACTTTCAATCACATGTCAACCGAAAAGAAACTTTCAATGCCATCGTAATATTCTCTTCTATTTCCTGTTGTGTGGTATTTTGTCACTGAGAAAATGCTACTGCATAAAACAGTGGATACGTTTGCGTCATTATACACAGTTTAGTGAAGAATGTTTCTGATTATGTTAATAGCACAGACAAAAGCCAGGCAGATGTACCGTATTGTAATGTGATTGTCTTTTCCCGCGTTAGTGATCAAAGGTAATCGTGCACAAATTTCAAATCAGCTTGTCACGGTACTCGTCACATTCTCACTTTCAGTTGTTTCAATGTTTCAATGCAGGGTTCAGAATTGACAGTTGCTCCTCGTGGTTAAAAAAAATCTGTGAGAGGCACGCCATGAACGTCCCAAAACACAATTGCCATGATTTGTCCGGCTGACTCCTCGGGACGATGCCTGTCTGACAAGCACATGGACAGCTCTTCCTCTTCTTCCGATTCATTGCTTACACGTCTGACCTATCTATAAACAGTGACAAAATTTAGAGCTTGGTCCTTGTAAACATTCTGAAGTCTCTTTTGGATGCTATCGGAGGATTCTCCTTCTAAAACAAGAAATTCAATCTCAGCTCTTTACCTCTGACAGACCTCCAAGAAGGTAGCCATTTTGATGTGACGTCATTCGTGCCAAAAATAAAGAAGCTTGAATTTTAACAGTTTGAGTTCAAAAGTACACAAGCAAATACTTATGAGCTGAATTTAATTAAATTTGATGTAAAGTTGTGCAAAATAATGAACAGCTTGCATTACTTTTTGACTCCCCCTCGTATGTTGAACAGAAGTCAAAATATTTGCGATTGAAGGAGATTAGGGTCGCCTGGTTTCAGGGGTGAAATAAGCGAGAAAATGGC